GTCCGAAGACAGATGCAGTACTTCTCGGCGCTCGAGCTGGTAATAAGGCCACTGCGTTAGAACTATGAGGAATTAACTGCAGAAAGTTATCAGGATTAGATTCGTTTTTTAAAGTTGGTCTGACGGATAGACAAAAGCTCACGGTACTCAATTGAAAGTTTTATGGCGCCCACTCACTTATGAGGTCAAAGCTTAAAGTATATTGTAATATCGAATATTGTGCCTTTCAAACTAGAATACCTACCTACCTATACCTTGGAGATACCTACTTGCCCATTTCCGCGGATTATTCTGGAGACTTGGATGGCCAGCTGGGCTACGGACTATCCAATCTGCTTATTATGTTAATGACCAGTGGCTTTTTAGGCTATTGCGAGAAACGACGAATGAAACTGCCGCGGACAACCACTGGGGTGTTATGCGTAACAGTCCTAAGGGAGGGGGTGGAACAATCACATCCGAAGATTCCCAATAGAGGACTAAGGTCTAGTGCAAATCGAATTAGATTTCAGAAGAAACCTAGCAAATAGGAGCCGTTCAGTCGGCAGACAAGGGGTCATAATCCGTGCTTTTTAACGCCCCCTCTCAATCATTATGCCCCTTATTCCGAAAGGGTACACACGCAAATAATCATGTTTACAATTTAGCGGCACTCTCGGATGCATACTGCTACGCGCTGGGTTCGGTATAAATAAAAATTCTACCAAAGTATAAACTAAAACTGTATTCAACATTTAAAACACACACAGAACACTTTACAACTTGTAGTTCACTTCTTCCGCTTCGCTTCAGGTGGTCCGTTCGCTGTTTCACTTCGAGTAGATTCGATTACTGACTGACTCGTGCCATCTCTGCAACCCTTTTATAGTCGAGACGACATCCCTGGATTCATCGAGAGCATTCTGGGCAAGTCAAGTAGCTTTGATGTGTGTTTCCGCTATCTGACAATAGATGGTGTTGTACTTCTCGAGCTTTCTCGACGTTACGTGTTCCTTTGATATTCGTTTTTACTATTCGGCGATAGATAGCGTTACTTTTACCGGCGTAACAATACTAATAGCCTGACAGATCAAATGTGATCTCGACCAAGCGCCAAAGCCCCAGCGAAATGTATTCAAAAATACTTAAAAAAATATTTGCCGAATATTTTCTTGCCGAGGAAAAGCCATCAGAACATCAAAAAAGCTTATACAGTAGATAATCTTCGAACACAGGACATGCATATTCGCTCAGGATCGTGTATGTTCCACTGAACTGAAACGATTGAGCACACAGTGCGACCATGTGTGAAATCCTATCGGAACGGCGCGGCGTCTGCACAATGAAGAAAATATTGCGTGGCTCTTGCTCTCTGATTTTTCGTGAAAGCATCGTATGAGTTATAAATATTTTAATGCCCTGAACAGTTTCCGGGTTAGTCCATAACAATGTGAGCGCAATCTTGACACACCAGGTTGAGGTCTCATTTGAATTATACAAAGGCTGTCACGTCCTTTAAGCCAAAACTCGTGACTGCTTCAGAATCTTTGAAGAAATGTCATCTATACTAATATTATAAAGAGGAATAATTTGTTTGTTATATTATTTGTTTGTATTGAATAGGCTCCGAAACTACTGAACTGATTAGAAAAAAAATGTCACTATTTGGAAGCTATACTATTCCCGAGTGACATAGGCATACATATTTTTTGAAAAAATTAGGGATCCTTACTAAAACTCCAATAATGTAACCAAAGGTGTAAAAAAATTACCTAAAATATTCTTTACTTCGCATGCCCTGCGAAAACTATTGATGATAGAATAAAATAATGTACTACGACTTTGTAGAACACATTATTATTTCCAAAAAGTGTCGCGACAGAATATGTCTAATTATTATAGTTATGCCGCAATAAGTGTTCTTTTATTTTAAAAATAAAACAACGTCAAATATCGTTGAAATGTTTGTTAAAGACCCGAGCAGGACGCTAGTTAAAAATAAAATATATCCTTACGGGCTCATAAATCCGTAACCCGCTTTCTAAAAAACCATCGAGTCACTGCATACAAGTCCGCCGTGCATCTAACCCATTAGGCTAAAACGCCTTCAGAAAGTGATAATGTAATGTGCACTCAAAATATTACGCCCTAAACTTAGTTAAATGTCTTGAAATCATTTTGCTCGTAAGCTTACCGTCGCCTCGCGCTGACTGGGATCGCGTTCCTTAGAGACAAGAGAGTGTCACATTTTTATAGTCTAAATCAGCAAAAAATAAATTAACAGATACTTTTTTTATGATTTTAGTTTGAAAAATTACCTACTTCTGAGGTGTTCTCGTGCAATTGTCTCCAATAGCCTACATCAGTTTATTTTTAACATCCAATACCTCGGCTACATTTGCCTGAGTACACCAATCGATAAGTCAAGACGTTATCCGTTTCTTTTTCAACTATAAATCGTTATTCATATCCTCACACCCTTATCTATGTATTTATACATCACAGATTTCGATATTCAGATATCTCCAACTATCAAAGAAACAGTGCATACAATATCATATCTTCAAAACCTCTATCTTCAAAAACCGACCCGATATTTTCTAGGTCACTCAAAGGTCTTCCGTCCACCTGAACCTTGAATAGAACGTTATCGAGTTAGTACAACTAACAAGCTCGTTTGACCTTTAACCTGACCTCTTGTCGGGGTCGCTTCAGTGCCCATCTTGATTCAGTTTCGCCATTAGGACCACTAACCGAATTTAGGCGTAGCCTGTTGCTCCTCCATTATGGTTCCGGAGTGTCTTATTGGTTTAATAATCATTACGTTCGCATTTCCAATGGCCGTAAATTTAAATTTATGAGTTTTTCGACGACCACTTAACTAATTTAAACGGTTAAAACTTGCATTTTAATATTCAGCGTCTGACATTTTTTTTGAGAGTTATTAAAGCTACTTCTACGGTTTAATCCGGCCAGTATTATTTTTAGGCTATTGTGTCCGACGTTTTGAAAACGTTACAGTTTTTGTAATCACGGACGACTATAAGACGAAATTTGAATAATGCGTTAACTATTGTTCAAGTTTAAATACAATTATTTTATAAGTGTTTTTTTTTACACCGAAGGAACACACATAATCTTTTTTTATGTTGATGTTCTATGAGGATTAATTAATTATGTGTGAGATCAAATGTACTTTTTTTTAATGCATGTTTGGGTGTATTTTTTTCTTTTTCTTAGGATCTAAAATTGTATGGACTGAAATGTTACAGTATTACTGTATTGAAATTTTCAATTCATAACTTTGTTTCCGTATAATTTAAAATGATCAATTCATAAAATTCGAATTTTGGATATCCGAACCTATAACCCGAATGTAGAGTTAGACTAATTTTGATGACCTCGATAAATGAAAAATCATTTTACTTTGAAAAAACATCATGAAATTACAGATACATGAGGATTTCGTTTAACGGCCGTTTTCAATAACGTATCTGAGTTTTCGGATAGATAGCTATCTCCGAATATCAGCAAGAGCGTATCTATCCTTAGTTTGCGTTTCACAATCACGGATAAGTGCTATCTCTCTTTAACCAACAGTAGATAGCTTCTTCCCTCCGATTTATCCGAGCCTCTTGATACGTTTCGTTCTACTACAAATACGAAACAACANATTGAAACGGAAGTAAGCACGATTTGTATGAGCGTTCTATCTTTAGCAGGCTATCCGTCCTCCCGACGATGGATAGATAAATCCGATAGGAACTGCTGCCCGTCGATAGGTTATTGGAACGTAAGTAAGGACAAAAATATAGATTTGTCTATCTTTAGTAACCGAAACTAGGGATAGATAGGTTATTGAAAACGGCCGTAAAACGTCTTCTCTGGTGTTTCTGAAATTAATACTGAAAGGAAACAATATTCAATTATTAAACTAAGCATAAATACATACTTCTAATTTTGCTCAGTTCGTTTTTAATGAACCCACAAACTATGTTGGAAACAGCGTGTCGTGTATATATTTCATTGCATTCAACACGCAAAAAAACATTACTTTATAAAACCATGATTTTTATTTTTATATCATCATAGACATGGACCAAAACGGTCCATGTACATGATGATATAAAAAATACGGTTAAAATATCAAAATACGGCTTAGCGGTAGGCAGCAGCTTGGCTCTGCCCCTGGCATTGCTGAAGTCCATGGGCGACGGTAACCACTCACCATCAGGTGGGCCGTATGCTCGTCTGCCTACAAGGGCAATAAAAAAAACCATTTTCTTCGTATTCATTATAAAGCGGTTGGCTTACATCCTGCATATAAAAACCGGTCAATATTATAACACTTTAAATATATAGTTATATTTTAATACGCTCTTATTAGGTTCATACGTACGTTAGTATGTATGTTAGTACGTAACGGAATCTTTGAACATGATTTTGACCCCCTTCAAAACGTCGGATTAACTCGAAATTTGGCATACTTATTAAGGACCGATAACAATTCAATATTTTAAACAGTTTGATCCGTTATCCTTACTAGGATAATCAGGATTTGCGATTTTTTGTTTTCCTGAGACCCGGAGCGTCGGCGTCAAGACCAAGAAGGGACACTACCAGGCGCGCCGACCACCTATTTCTCGGATAAGTAACTGACTGATTCAGAAAGAAAATTGTTTTTTTTTTTAATTTAATTAAAAAATTAAAAATACCTAATAGTTTAAAAAACTACGCTTTTATAGAAAATTCAACTAAAAAACAGAAAATAAATTTTAATAAGTTTGAATTAAAAATAGTGTTTGAAAAAAAATGAATTTATTGTAAAAAAATAGCACGTAAAATCTGTCCACAGTATTCGGAGAAATCAATGAACACACAAAAGAAAATCTATATAACTGAAAATAAAACCTCCTCTTTTTTTAAAATTAGCTAAAACAGATTTAACCGTCCATTTTAAACTTTAATAAAGGCGAAGTGAGTATTTAGGTAGGACCGTCTTCAACTTGGCGGTGGACGTAATGGATTTCATTAGCTCGAAACTGAAGAAAGACCCTGCGAAAGATTTACAAGTACAGTCAAACCTGGGTAAGTGAGAACTGGATAAGTGAGAAAACTCTATAAGTGAGAGTAATAGCCAGGACCCGTCATTTTAGGCTCCCAAAACCTCTATTAGCGAGAAACAGAAACCTCTGTAAGAGAGAGTCGTTTTTCCCTCATGGACCTCCGTAAGTGAGACTGCTACTTACCTCTATAAGCGACAGTCGAGCTTTATTTATTTATATTATTTAGGAGGAACAAATTTTAATGAAAAAACAAATTACAAATTTAACATCTGCTATTTTATGACTCATTCTTAACTTTTGTGGAACTTTCTACCATTGTTTTTGAATTGTTTTCTCGTCAATATTGAACCTATTCTATTTCGTGGAACTAAATAACGTTGTTATAAATATTATCTCATTCTTTTCGAATGGACAAGTGTACCTGTGTACCGTCCTGTTTGTCGGACTTACTCAGTTTATCGTTAATCAATTGCGAAGAAAAGTTCTGTTCTGTATCATGTCAAAACGGAAAATTAAAGTACTGTCATTAAGTGATAAACTTAAATAGTGTATAAGTTTGAATCCGGAAAATCGCGAAATAAAATTCAGAGGAAGCATTAGCGAGAAACTCGGGTTAGTGAGAAACCTCTATAAGCGAGAATGAGATTGTGCTCCCTTGTACTCTCTCTTATCCAGGTTTGACTGTATTACTTTAAAATTCCTATTTAACAAATTCAAGATTGTACATAAGCTACACCTGGATCGCGATAACGATAAATCCAAAGGAATATTCTGTGGTGGTCCGTGTAGCGGGGTGTCTATAGCCTCAATTGAACTCGCCTGCGTATCTACAGTAAACTTTTGAAGCATTAACCAAAGTCAAACCGGTGTAACCGCTCCAAAATAATGGCAACTTACACCAATTACTGGTGGTAGGACCTCTTGTGAGTCCGCACGGGTAGGTACCACCGCCCCGCCTATTTCTGACGTGAAGCAGTAATGCGTTTCGGTTTGAAGGGTGGGGCAGCCGTTGTGACTATACTGAGACCTTAGAACTATATCTCAAGGTGTGTGGCGCATTTACGTTGTAGATGTCTATGGGCTCCAGTAACCACTTAACACCAGGTGGGCTGTGAGCTCGTCCACACATCTAAGCAATAAAAAAAATATATATATATAAAATCTANGCTTACAAAAATATCCTTTTCACAAAATTCCATTAACCGTTTTTGTCGAAAACTTTCTTAAACAGTTATCTGCGTTAAGGGCAGAGTTCACATCCAACAAAAACACAGCCGAAGGCTTATCCCTTCGGTCGAGAACTTCCTACATCATACGCAAAACGCCTGTTTGATAAGCTATCATAACAAATTACAGGGAAAGGGAATATCTTTCGTGTTGTAAAGAGAGGTTTGTAAAATAGCAGTGTAGAGCCCCGGGGATGAACACGTGGCACATCCATCAAAACGAGACCCCGGCTTAATGTCCGCAGAATATCTAACATTTCGGTTCCCACTAGTGGACATACTCAGCGGAGGCTACGTAACGCAACAATGTGCCCGCCGTCAAATATGAAACTAAATTAATATAGTTCGGTCAAAAATTATATTTAATTAAAAGTAAATACAAATTCTACAATCGTGCTCGAAGGAACATACTGCAAATTAATCTGATAAAAGAATATAACAGTTTTAATTGGAATGACTCTTCATTATCGTTCTAGATTGGCTGGGTAGCTAAAGGGCCTACCTGGTATTCACAAGCTACCAGAGTTCCCAGATATTAATAACATCGTTAATGCCATCACCAAGTGCGGCCCATAGGCACAAGCAGGCATAAGTAGTAGTAGTAGTACCACCTCAATACCTTTTTTGAAAGATAGTACAAACCTCATGCAATACAACTTAGACTTTAACTACGGCAATATTCACGTTATGAGCCCTGCAAACTATATGCTTAATAGCAGATAGGCTGAGAACTTTCCTGATCATCAACAGTAATAAAATAACAATTTGTCTAAGAAATGTTAGCATTGTAATATAATAATAATAACAAATATATCAGCTAAATTTAAATTATTATTTTCCTTTTCGCGGGTCACGTTAACCATTTTCGGTATTTATTTTTAGGTAAAAACCTGGACTGTGTTTCACACCTTCTTTCACGATGAGGGGTAGTCACAATAATCGAAGACGAAAAATCATTCATTTGGAAATGCATTATACAACTCTTTCCGCGAGAAAAACTGATTCGACTCACCAGATCTGTGCTATACTAGACGCGCCCCGGAGTTTCCCAAGCGATAAAATTGTTATTAAAAAAAGATTAAACATATTATATTTTCCTGGAGTCAGACTCCTATAGCCACGATTAGCATTGCAAACTGTTTACTTTATCTTAAAATGATGGTCGAAAAATCATTCCGGACAGGATTTCCGTAAAATCCGTTCTTATTAAATTCTTACATCGCAAAAGATGTATTTATATCAAATTGAAAATCTATCACACATATGATTTCTGTAATCTCATAATGACTAACTGGTATTTCACCTTTTTTAATATTTAGATTTACTATGTTATTACAAAAAATCGTGTTGACCTCTGTATCTTTTTCATAGTGAAAGAAAAAAAATCCCTTTCGTGTTGGCTATTCTTAGATATTGTACTTCAAATACATAAGCAACCGGGCTTCGCTGAGCTCTATCTATTCGCTATTATATTTGATACTTCAAATATGATACTTCAATTATGTATCTGATATTTATGAAACAATAGCAGAGGAAGTGTGAAAGTAGAAACGGTAATCAACAAATTAAAGAGCGGACGATTAGCGTTGTGTGGGCATATGATGCGTAGAGAGAAGATGCATGTGACTAGGAGATGTTTGGAAATAGTAGTGCAAGGTAGAGTGGGAAGAATTCGACCGAAAATGGATGGAGTGTGTGAATGACGATATTAGAGAGAGAGGAGTGAGTGTTGAGATGACGACTGATAGAAGAGATTGTAAGAGAAAAGTTAGCTGTGCCGAACCCGCCTAGTGAGATAATTACAGAAAAAGAAGAAGATTTATGAAACAATAGCAGTATTATCGAAAAAAAATGCTTATGATAACGTTGTTTTGTAAGCCCTTCTCGTAAAATTTTTAACTTCCAACATAAGTGTCATTGGTGACCACAAAAATTATGCATTTATAAAAACGGCTGCTTACTTTTCGGTGGAAGTACCTCACAGTCGAATCGAAAATATGAAACTATGAATAAAATGCCAATTTTTTATATGATTTTAAAAATAAAGCAGTTTGTTATAAGTTTTTCGTAATCTTCAATACCTAATCTATTTTTGGGATCGCAATCGGGTCGTTGTGGACACGATTTTCATGTTCGCGGTATACGGAGGTGTTGTTTGTTTGATATGAATATTTTGCTGGTTTCTCCTTGTACACATAATGGCATTTATAGATTATAAGATGCCAAATCAGCGCCTGTAATATTCAACATTCCGAATGCAATATAAAAGCCAACTATATCGAGAAGTAAGAGGCTATTTGGTTTAAAAACACGCGACATTTATCTTTGTAATAAAAAGTGTGTTTTATTTGGTATTAGCATCACCAGTTCGATGTTTTTAATTGATCTTCAATTAAGTTTGGTTACTGGTAGTAGGACCTCTTGTGAGTCGGCACCGGTAGGTGCCACCATCCTGCCCATTTCTGCCGTGAAGCAGTAATGCGTTTCGGTTTGAAGGGTGGGGCGGCCGTTCTAACTATACTGAGACCTTAGAACTTATATCTCAAGGTGGGTGCCGCATTACGTTGTAAATGTCTATGGGCTTGAGTAACCACTTAACACCAGATGGGCTGTGAGCTCGTCCACCCATCTAAGCAATAAAAAAAAGTCCCGTAAAGTTGTATATCGCTTAAACCAAATACCCTTTCAACCTTCGACATATTTCTCTGTCAAAACGAAATCCCGTGACATAGCGTCCGAACTATATACAGTCGAAATTACAAAACTCATCGGGCCTCTGTTGAGCATTACACAATTCCCACACACTCGACTCGGTCAAGTGAACGTAATACCGACGGTACCGTACCGTACCCGCATTACGACCTCCGAGAGATCTGCCTAGATTTCAATGTGAATACGTTATGAATACGACTCAAATGTTTGTATTGGTGGAGCGCGCGTGGGTCGTGGGGCATTGTATCGTGCTCTTTATTGCCGTAAATAGGAGACGGCTCACTTGATTGCCAGTGGTCAATCATGGAAGGCATTTTTTTCCTACCTATGCTGATAGCCTTGAGAGGCTATTCCAGCTTCTCCTTAACGCGTAGGTCACTTTGCCTATTTCCGCCGTGAAGCAGTAATGCGGTTTGAAGGGTGGAGCAGCCGTTTTACTGTAAAAACTGAGACCTTAGAACTCATATCTCAAACTAGGTGGCGGTATTTATGTTGTAGATGTCTATGGACTCCGATAACCACTTAAAAGCAGGTGGACCGTAAACTCATCCACCCTTCCTTCCTTTGTCGTATCACTCTTGTCAGGGCGGTCGTAGTCGTCATTCGGTATCATTGCTGTAAGCAGATCTTAAGCGTCTCACTTCCATGATCTACCTAAATAAAGCACGATAAAATATAGTTGAACAAATAATAAGGGCTTCTGTCCACTTAAATAGCGAAACTCGCGATCCAGAAGTTAAACACAGTTTCGGAAGCAAATATTAATTAGGGCCGTGCTCGGAGACCGGGCTTTCGCCGAAGGTACTTACATTATATTTGAAATTCGGCTCAAAAACTCTTATTCCTGAACTACTAAAGCTTGTATGTTTGGATTTCCTTGTTCAAAAAACTACTATTAACGTGTTTCGTAGCGGTTACCTATTATATTATGAAATCAAACCCGCAAAATTATAATTTGCGTAATTACTGGTGGTGGTAGCAGCTACTGTTGAGTTGTTAGGTCTCCGTTGGAGGCGCTCGGGTAGCTGTTAGCAAATCCCACGCCTCCTGGCTGAGCTCTTGCTCGCCCTACCCTGGTAAAACTGGAGAGGCCTCCGGGCCACCAGTGATCTCTCAGACATAAAAATAAATAAGCTTGCATATATACATATAGAGACGTCGTGGCCTAAAGGATAAGACGTCCGGTGCATACGTATGTAGCGATGCACCGGTGTTCGAATCCCGCAGGCGGGTACCAATTTTTCTAATGAAATACGTACTCAACAAATGTTCACGATTGACTTCCACGGTGAAGGAATAACATCGTGTAATAAAAACCAAAACCCGCAAAATTATAATTTGCGTAATCACTAGTGGTAGGACCTCTTGTGAGTCCGCACGGGTAGTTAATCCGCCCTGCCTATTTCTGCCGTGAAGCAGTAATGCGTTTCGGTTTGAAGGGTGGGGTAGCCGTTGTAACTATACTGAGACCTTAGAACTTGTATCTCAAGGTGGGTGGCTCATTTACGTTATAGATGTCTATGGGCTCCAGTGACCAAAGATATTTGACAAATGCTTTACTCGCACTAACGATATTTTTAAGATAATCATTTTTTTTCGTTTGGTTGCCAATAAAGCGAGCACGCCAATTTAAAACTAATATTTAACACGGCAGAAATAGGCGGGGTGGTGGTAGCTACCCGTGCGGACTCACAAGAGTCCTACCACCAGTAACTGCACAAATTATATTTTGGCGCGTCTTTTTTTTAATTTCGTAGGTGGGTAGATGAGCTCACGGCCCACCTGATGTAAAGTGGTTACTGGAGCCCATAGACGTCTACAATGTAAATGCCGCCCCCCACCTTGAGACATGAGTTGTAAGGTCTCACTTAACAGTACAACAGCTGCCCCGCCCTTCAAGCCGAAACGCATTACTGCTTCACGGCAGAAATAGGCAGATTAGTGGTACCTACCCGTGTGGACTCACAAGACGTCCTACCACGAAACATTATTACACTTATGAAAAAGAAAAAAGAAAATTGACAAAATTTAAGCGGCCAATTGTATAATCGAGGCGTGTCTTAAGCATATCACATAATACGTCTTAAAACTATATGGGTTTCAAAATCAGTTCTTCATCTGTAAAAAATAATATTAATAATGTGAGTATTTTTAAAACAAAAAAAAAACTCGTTTAAATACGAAACCGAATTAATTATTAATTTAACCTCATTCTGTTGATACTGATCAAGATGTTAAAGCGAAATTATAAAATTATTGTATTTTCGCTTTAGGCAGCGGCTTGGCTCTACCCCTGGTATTGCTGAAGTCCATAGGCGACGGTAACCACTCACCATTAGGTGGGCCGTATGCTTGTCTGCCTACAAAGGCAATAAAAAATAAAAAATAAATTGCAATGAATCCTTGATTAGTGTGAAAATTTCAAGTCGATCAAACGTCCTGAAGTTAGTGAAAATGATGTTCAAAGATTCCATCAAAATACATACAAACAAACATACAGACCATGCTGACAAAAGCCTGTTAAAAACCCGGTCATCGTTCTCGTCGAACCCGTCGCTTGCGACGAATGGCTCGGCGAGTAAATTAACCCAAAAACAGCCCACTGAGTTTCCCGCCGGATCTTCTCAGTGAGTCGCGCTTCCGATTCGGTGGTAGATTCTGCGAAGCGCTGCTATTTCTAGGGCTAGTGTTAGCAACGTCGTCAGGCTTGAGCCTCGTGAGCTCGCCCATTAGTTCGGTGAATCTAGAATAACCCCTCGAGGCTACTAGTATAAGTTTATAATATGCACCAGAGGGAATCCTTGAGAGACAAGTTTAAGGAAATCAAAATTTTAACTTTATCGTCCCAATAACTTTTTAAAAATTTATTGTACGTGCGTAAAAACATTGAAGAATTCCCCAGAGTCTGCGATTTGCACAATGTGAACACTAGGAACAAACATAGGCTTGCGTTGCCGGCGGCTCGAATTAAGAAAATAAGCAACTCTTTTAGGGGGCTGGGTGTACAACTTTTCAACAAGATCCCACAAAACGTTCAATCACTACCTGTTCATAGATTTAAGAAAATTGTCAGGGAACGTTTGTGCAACAAGGCATATTATAAAGTTAAGGATTATTTACTAGATGTCACTACGTGGGAATGAGGCGTTCGCTCCTGGCCTTTTCATTTTTCATTATTTTTTAATTTTTTTAATTGTATTTTTTGACTTGTTTTTTCGTTTATTGCAAATATTTTTACTTATTTAAAAAAAATTGAGAAAAAACAAAAAAAAGCCCGCTGAGTTTTGTTTCGCCGGTTCTTCTCAGGACTGTGGCTTTTTTTGGAACCGGTGGTAGAGTTAACATTGTTATTTATATTTTGACATTCAACAAGTGTGTTATCTAAGTTGAAATAAATGATTTTGAATTTGAATTTGAGTAGAAAAAAAGTGTTGAAAATAGAACTACACATTCTGTAGATATCAAAGCAAATGTTTTTGCTTTGATCAGAAAATCCAATACTAAACAAAGTTTGTTTTTCACCAGAATTACCGAGGGCCACAACCAGCCGCGTCGTTTCTATCCTTGGTCTCTTCGAGCTGTCTGTGGGAGATACACCAAGAGTGGACGGAGCATCAGAGCTCGCAGCTGCCAAGCTCGCAGTGGAACATGTCAACAAAAGGAACCTACTCCCTGGGTATAAGCTGCATCTCATCACCAATGACACAAAGGTATAGTTATTGCTTGCTTTATATTCCTGACTGCTTTACACGCATCCTTGTAATCATTATAATATGTTATGTTTTGACAAATTAGAAACCAATAAATAAATTATCTCCCTGGCTAGGCGTAATAATAGGCTAATCGATATATCGTTCCTACCTTCTACCCTAGCTTCTATGCCAGCTTAGCTTAACTGGTGGTAGGACCTCTGGTGAGTCCACGCGCGTAGGTACCATCGACCTACCTATTTTTCCTATGAAGCAGTAATGCGTTTCGGTCTGAAGGGTGGGGCAGCCGTTGTAACTATACTGAGATCTTAGAACTTATATCTCAAGGTGGGTGGCGCATTTACGCTGTAGATGTCTATGGGCTCCAGTAACCACTTAACACCAGGTGGGCTGTGAGGTCGTCCACCAATCTAAGCAATAAAGAAAAAGCTACAAATCGTACTGCTTCAAACTATATCAAAAATTTTAATGTAAAACTTTTGTTGCAATAGGACTGGTATTCACATCCTTGATGCTTTGCAAGCTTCCGGGGAGGGCCGAAAAGCACTTTGTGCATGCATCTCCCTCTAGACTCCCGGAAACTTGAAATATCGTCTCTGTTCTCCTAATATCCTCAAAAGAGAGAGATAGTCGAACTAAATTCAACCTTCACAGAGGTGTAATACACGCCAGAGCTATTTATTCATTGTTCCGTTTCAAAATCTTAACCGTGTCCAGCAAATGTGTGTCTTGTTTTAATAGTGCGATCCCGGTGTGGGCGTGGATAGATTCTTTCACGCCCTCTACACGGAGCGGGAGTCAAGAATGGTCATGCTGCTGGGGACTGCTTGTTCTGAAGTCACGGAGAGCATCGCGAAAATCGTACCCTATTGGAACATTGTACAGGTAAAGGCCCCGTTTACACGTATCAGTCAACTCGACGTGGTGAAATTTACAACGCTGAGCCATTCATTCTTTTTTTCTTTTTTCTTAGATGGGTGGACGAGCTCACAGCCCACTTGGTGTTAAGTGGTTATTGCAGCCCATAGACATCTACAGGAGATATCAGTTCTAAGGTCTCAGTGTAGTTACAACGGCTGCCCCGCCCTTCAAACCGAAACGCATTACTGCTTGACGGCAGATATAGGCAGGGTGGTGGTACCTACCCGCGCGGACTCACAAGAGGTCCTACCACCAGTGAACAATTGTACAGATGTGTTTTAAAAACACGAACTTTTTATTTATTTATTGCTTAGATGGATGGACTAACTCACGGCCACTCACCTGGTGTTAAGTGGTTACCGGAGCCTATAGACATTTACAATGTAAATGCCACCACTGACCTCGAAACAAGAGTACTAAGGTCTCAGTTTTAACATTATAACGGCTGCCTTCAAACCGAAACGCATTACTGCTTCACGGTGGAAATAGGCAGGGTTGTGGTACCTACCCGTCTGGACTCACAAGATGCCCTCTCATCAGTAATAACGTTCAATTCGTTACTTATATTACCTACCAAAACATTTTTAAACAATACAAATTTTAATTCTAATAACAACAAATAACACAAAATCAACAAATAAGTATTTTAAGTACCCTGTTCGGTGATATATTACCGAACACCTTTGTCAGCATAATTCGCGTGACGCGTTAACTTCATTTCCACAAATCGTCAGTGCACGATCAACAACCGCATCATCCGGGTGCATTCATAATATTAACATTTAATTTATTTTCTCTATATTTTAACAATAAACATTTATAAGTAACATTATCTTTAACTAACAAACTCACACCGCACCCTACATACCCAAAATCTTTGTCTCTTCCTTTTCGCATAAAAGCATCCATTAGTTTTAGCTTCTCAAGCAGTTGTCTTGGACTTTATTGATAGATCTGTTTCTAGCTGCAATGTGTTTATTTTTCAGGCATTTTTACACTTAGAATAGATTCTAATGATGTTCTAATGCGATTTTATTTCTTTGTAGTTGTTTCCAAAGACATAATATTGATAGTTTGCCAGATTCTGTATTTTAGGTAATTTAAACAAATAAAGCAACTTATCCTAAAGTTTTTGCTAGCGTGCCGTAGATTACGAGCTTCGACCGTTTGCCAATCGATTTACCAATCGGTTTTTTTAATTGGTCTTGCGGGCAGACGAGCATGCTGCTCACCCGACCATGAGTGGTACCGACGCCCATGGACGTCAGCAATGCCGATACCCACAACCAAACTAAACCAACAACAAGTAACTTAATGCTTCAACTATAGAATTCGTTCTACAAAAATTCTAAAAGCAATCAAACTTGCAAACCATATCATTAAATCTAAACTTTGAACCGTCGCAATCGACTTCGCCTGAAAGCGAATGCTGTTTATACAAACACTGAATCTAACCGAAGCGAAAAGTTATACGGAAACATTGAGCGTTGCATCGAAGCGAATTCGAACTTTATTAATGTGCAGCAGAAGTTCTATATTCGCTTGCAGGTTCTAGTTTAGTAGAAATCTCAATACGTGGCTTGTTTTGTATGTAATCAAGTTAGGTTCGACATTCGAGAGCAGCTGTATGGGGTACCCTTCAATCAAACGTTACGTTGGGGGACTCTGTGATTGCATGCGGAAATTGAAGCGTCCGTGGCTCGATCTTGCCATCACGGGGTATTGTATTCAGAACACAACGTGTTTTATGCCCCAACTAACAATTGTGAATGACCTTTAATCATTGCTCGGAATAAATAAAACTGAAATTTCTGGATATGACATGAAATTTTAGTTCTATTTGATCATGTATATACACAACATAAAACCCTAGTTGACCGGTCATCGTTCTCGTCCAACCCGTCACTTGCGACGAAGAGTTCGACGAGTAAATTAACCCTCAGACACAGCCCACTGAGTTTCTCGCCGGATCTTCTCAGTGGGTCGTGTTTCCGATCCGGTGGTAGATTCTGTGAAGTACTGCTCTTGCTAGGGTTCGTGTTAGCAACGTCATCAGGTTTGAGCCCCGTGAGCTCACCTACTAGTTAAGGTTACACTGAAATAGCTCCTCAAGGCTCTCAGCTTAGGTAGGAAAAAAAAACCTAGTTGAAAAATTAAAGATACAGAAACTGCTTATTTCTCTAACTAAACTCTCCCTGTACATAACACAGAATAATAATAAGAAAATTATGAGGAACAGAACAGAAAATCTTAGTCTACTCTAATAGAAAACAAATTTATATAATTATCTATACCAAATCGATAGTTCTTATTTAATTACGCAAATTAAATTCTTCTGAATCCCACATCGCATTAGACACAATAAACTATTCTCTGCGAGCTTAGCACACACTAATTACGTACATAGCTTTCCCATGACTAGAATAAACAACTTACATTAGTATTTTTTTGACTCAAACTTGAGCATACATATTTTTAACAATCAGTTAATTTTTTAAAAGCAATTTTTTTACGTATAGCTGTTTATTATTATTATTAACTGTTTATTAATTACTATTAACTGTTTCAGAGATACACTCGTGCACAAATATTATAATACAATCAAAGTTTTCAGATATTTATCTACTGTTTCACACTCCAACAAACACGTTCTATATGAATATTTAATGCGTGTTTTTCTTTATATTTTGAAAACGTATTAATTAATGTTTTGTTTACGTTTTAGAAAAGAATTTAAAACAAAATAGTGATTTAATTAAATAATTTAAAGATTATTTTAGTTTGGTTATAACTATTGTACAAGTTTTTCATACCTTATTATGTATAAAATAAGCTAATTTTAGCTTTTACTAATGTAATTTACTTATATTAAATAAACAACCTAGGTAGTATTATCATAATAACATTTTTTTCTTTTGTTTCGTAACAAAGAAACCTATTTATATATTTATAACTGACAGTAAAATACTGTCGCGAATATTGGACGCTAAATTTAAATAAAATATTTGAATTTCGCGTCCATTTTGCTTTGATGACGTAATCATAATTAACAAACCATTTAATTGATTGAACCTCATTATGTACCACGAAAGCTGTTACTCGCGTTAAGCACGAAACTTTAGTGGCCGTATTCAAATTCAACGTTGCGTGCTTTGATAGGACCGACTATTCAATTTAGTGGTGTGGACTGCGAGGCTTTTCTCGCCTGGCAATTTAACGAAACGATATTATTATGCTTCATTTTAATCGATTTAAAAGAAAGGAGGCGGTTCTAAATTCAACATCAAAAATTATGTGCGTTTACCAGAGAAATTTTTTAAGTCGAACCGATTTTGATAATTCAGAATCTGGTTTATTTGAAAGAGGATGCTTTTTTTCCCTTCGTCGCAAGCGATGGGTTCGACGAGCAAATTAACCCATAGACACAGCCCACTGAGTTTCTCGCCGGATCTTCTCAGTGGGTCGCGTTTCCGATCCGGTGGTACATTCGGCGAAGCACTGCTCTTGCTAGGGCCAGTGTTACCAACACTTCCGGTTTGAGCCCCATGAGCTCACCTACATATTAGGGTGAAGCTGAAATAGCCTCTCAAGGCTCTCTATGCTGATAATAGGTTGGAGAAAAAAAGCATAAATACGAGAGTAATAAACTTTACTCTGTTTATTGCGTTTTCACTCTGGACCGCGATCGTGCACGCCAAAATACCGGGACATTTTTATTTGTTACAGGTGTCCTTCGGTTCCACGTCACCAGCTCTGAGTGATAGATCAGAATTTCCCCTCTTCTGCCGCACCGTCGCGCCTGATTCCTCACATAACCCCGCACGGATAGCTTTCATCAGGTAATACAAAGTGTCCTAGGTTTCCAGGAATCGTTTTGTATCACAATAAATAAGTTCTAACTTTTGAAATAATTTACTATCCACTTATTATAAAACAGGGATGGCCGACTTGAAGTTTCTTAAAATTCAATGAAACAATAGAACTCAGTAAACAAATAAGTAGTATGTTTAATTTTATTAAAATGCTTAACTTAAAACTGAATTTTAATCTTAGCAACTACTTCTCAGCGTGAGCATTGCACCTGAGCATCTTGCGCTAGTTTTTCAAAATTAGGTTGGTATTTGGAAATAGCCAACCTTAAAGAATCCAATGTATGTGAGTCTGTCAAGCGAGATCTTTTTAAGTAGAGAAATGCTGATTTTGGAAACCATTGTCCGAAAATCTAGACTTGAGAATTACCTTGCTTTTAGAAATATTTCGCAGCGCGATCGACCGGTTGGCCATCCCTGATACATATAAAATATTTTACTAGTGGTGGGGTATGTTTCTCCTTCACTTATACGTTCCGCTTTGAAAGACGGAACACCAGCTATGATAATTGAGAGTTCTTGAACTTCAAGTTTAAGAATGGATGGTGGCATTAATACTGGGACGATGGCTTTGGGATCTGGGTACCACTGAACATCAGGTACGCCGCGGGCCCGTCCGCTAAGATAAAACAAATAAAAAAACCGATCAAAACACAGTTGCAAAAAATTCAAAACATGACTTCTCTCATTTAATTATTTTTAACTCAAAAAACAAAAATTTATTTAATTATTTACCGTTTCAGATTAGCTTTTCATGAACCCGCAATGTATAACAAAGTAGGCCCAAAAGCTTCAACACAACTACCTTAATTTTTTGGTTAAGTCATCCTAAACATTGGTATGATTTGAATAGATTTAACACAATACACTTTGTCCAGACAATTCGGATGGGACACGGTGACGGCTTTCTCGCAGAACGAGGAAGTTTACTCGTTGGCTGTGAACGAGCTGGTCACGCAACTAGAGGCCGCCAATATCACCTGTGCCGCCTCCATCACTTTCGCGGAGTCGGACTTCAAGGAGCAACTGCAACAGTTAAAGGTATGTTGATGTCAAACTGATGTGAGACGTGAGTCAGTCTCAATAGTGTCTTAATAGGTAGCGGCTTGGCAATCGTCACGTTTACATGTGACGCTCACTGCTCCTCTTCAGATGAACCTCCTCTAAGATCACAAGAGCAATAAAAAATATGTGTGGTGTCGTGGGACACCGGATAGGAACGAAGTTCCTTATTATAAAAATATTAATTTTAAGTTATATTCGAGATATAAAGAAATTATTCGGGTATACATTTTTATTATGATTTTTTTATTGATAAAAATAAAATAAAAACTACATAGTTATCAACTTTATTTTATTCGCAATGATTTATAAAAAAAATATAATAATAATATACAAAGAAACAGCTATTTATATGAATAATAAATAATAATTAAGCTTAATTGTGTTCTATCATAGAAACCGCCATCACGTAGACTATACATTAGACACTGTATAGCCATCATACTAAGACTACACCTAAATAATAAAAATCTTACGTTACGGACGTTTTTTCTCGGTTAGAGTACCCCTCCGCATCGTCCCATAAGGAACTTCCCTTCGAACTAATACATATCATACACACATGAGAAAACAGTATGTTGAATACGACGTAACAAAGGTGGTATGCGCACGCTAAATAAATAAAAAACTACTCGTTTACGATCGATCGATTCCTACATCTTAAGGAGTTAACTTTTAAAAGATCGGGAAGTAAAAAAAATCTCCCTTAGCATACAGCTAGTCCTTCGTATGTCGAACAGGTCTTCGTTTGGGTTTTTAATATCTATATAGTAATGTAGTAAGTAGTTTTACTGGTAGTAGGACCTCTTGTGAGTCCGCACCACCCTGCCTATTTCTGCCGTGAAGCAGTAAGGCGTTTCGCTTTGAAGGGCGGGGCAGCCGTTATAACTATACTGAGACCTTAAAACTCATATTTCAAGGTGGGTGGCGGCATTTACATTGTGGATATCTATGGACTCCAGTAACCACTTAACACCAGGTGGCCTGTGAGCTCGTCCAACTATCAACGAAATAAAAATAAAATAAAAAGTATATATTATATCAATCTCTCATTCGTATTGAACATGGAATCCTAGTATGGGACCATATGACCGCGTGTGACATGTTTTCGCTTGTTATCTATATATTAATACGTGAATCAAAAACTTTGTATCCCTTTTTACGTAAATTGCGCGGACGGAGGAGTATGAAATGTTCCACACTTATAGAGAATATAGAGAAGAAGTGCACAATGCTAATATTTCTTTAAATAATGCATAAAAGATACATTAAATCAATAAAGAAAACATTACACACACTACATACCGTGTATTTGACGCACACACGCATGCATACTATTTATTGTCAAACTTTTGTTCTGACGTCTGTTGTCAAATTGAGAATAGAATATGGTTTGTCTTTGTTAATATTTTTTATAGTGTAGTCTTGGCGAAATTTGTGATTATAGAAGTATAAAATACAATCATAATACAATTAACAAATTAATACATAATACATACTTACAATTCCAATTAATTATAGTCGAATTTCGACTACTGCGGGACCTCTAGTTTTTATAAAAATGCAGAGCTTAGTAAAATTAATAAACGAACTTTATTGGTAATAACAAAAGTTTCGATCTAAATTAATTGATGGGGGCTTTCGGGAATGCTTCGTAATGTTCTTCGTGAGTTACATTAGTTTACCGCGAGTTTCAATTCACCAATATTCCAATATTAATGTTGTTTCCTTCGAACATAGAATATGTTTACTCTGAAACTGGATATAATAAGAAGCCTGTATAATACCATTCGATGTAAATACGAAGTAATTTGGTATCGTCGGTATATGAATACATTGGTATCAATTGTACCCACTTATCTAAAAGTTATAGTAGTTCTATTTTTCCAACTGGAAAGGCACTGGTGTCAATCATGCCATACAGCCTAAACTTTTTTTTTTAATGAAAAATTTTAAGTAGTGAAATGAAATGAAGTTGATTAATTTAGAACATTAATCAATTGGCATGAAATTCAATGAAATGAGATGATAAGGGATGAAATATAATCTCAGTATTGTTGTAGAATGTTGGTTCTTTACTGAGACCTTTTCAATAAACTTTTTGGACAATCCCGAGAACCTACATACGTCCAGCGGCTTTGTTTCATTTTCCCACATTTGTGCACTTTTACAGATATTAAACAGTTAATAATGATTTATTAACCATTATTAACTGTTATTAATTCCGTTATTACACATTTAAACCTGAAGAAACACTAAATAGACGAAATAAAACAATTCACACAACTTCGCTCCTCGCGTTCCCGCCAAAAAGTCTCTATAGGTTATCTAAATTAGAAATAGACAAACATTTCAATGCCATTTCCTTGTATCTTCGTCAACAGATTACCATTTTGTTTCTTACTTAACAATTACATATTTACGAGATAGTGTTAACAAAAAAATGATATAATTTTTTTTTTCCAAAAAATCCCTAGCATCACTAAATAGAATACAAGACTAAAATTCAAATATTTGAATTTGGACAATTTGACAAACGATAAATAAAAGTGTACATAATAATATGTTCTCTCCCCTATCAATATTATTAAATTCCAATGCCATTCGCATGATTGCAATGAATATTACTACACAGCTGTTGGCACATCAGGAAGGCTTCTGTTACAGAACCAATACTTACAAGTCTAATTATACACAATAGGTGGCTTTTGACTAGTTTTAAGAAATCGATGTTTTTATGCAATTAGCGATGAACTTAACGATGTATGTTGTGCTTAACCCGTAGTAACTATGCATACAATTTACGCGTAAGCTATAACGTCATTTTAACCGACTTTAAAAAAGGAGGAGGTTCTTAATTCGACTGCATTTTTTTATGTTTGTTACCTCATAGCTTTTGACTGGGTGAATCGACTTTTGATGATGTTTTTTTTATTAGAAAGCTGACGCCTCCTGTGTGGTCCCATTTCAATTTAGTCGAGTTCTGATAATGGTATCTATGAGAAAACCATATAAGTCTTAAATTTGCATTATGTACGTGCGCGACAAATAGATGAATAGCTCAATTACTCAATATCACGCCAACCGATTTCGATGATTATTGTTTTTAGTGTATATTAATTTGTTTTGAAATATCTTTATCTTATTACCAAGCGGTGAGGTCGTCTGCACGTGTATGTATATTTTTTATTATTGCTTCCAATCCATTCCAAAGTCACAACAAATGCAGACCTAATTAACACACATCTTCAATAAAAACACAAAAATATCAACAGCCAAAAACTTTAACGTAAATATAAAAATACACGGATAAATAGATATTTTTACGTTCATTGATTTTTCATTATATATCGACCCTTGAAAGGCAAACGTGACTAAGCGACAATAACTGTTTTGTACATAAATGATAGGCAATAACCATATTCGATGCGCAAAAAATATATATTTCTAGGTCTATTAAAATCCTTTCAATCCTACAGCTACTAGCTAGATTCTACTACACCTAGATTCGTTAAAATAAATTTTGTTTTCAGGTATTTCAACTTTAAATTAGTCTACTGTAAAGTTCACGCATTGTCGCTTAGTCACTTTTGCCTTTCAAGCGTCGATATTGTTTTGTACGGTTCAATGAACTAATGTAAGAGAATGTAGTTCTGGTTTTGTACAAAACCACACACGCTTGCGAATTTATAAACACCGAATCTCGTCCGGGTTAATTATAAATAACAAGGATACATTACGTGTACTGCGGTCTATTAACTATTTTGTATTTATTATGTATGTTTATGTTACATGTTATTTTGTTTTTATTGCCCTAGTAGGCAGACGATCATACGGCCCATCTGATGGTGAGTGATTACCGTTGCACATGGACTTCAGCAATCCCAGGGGCAGAGCCAAGCCACTGCCTACCGCTTAATGCTCTCCACAAGCCTCGTTTGTAGAAGGACATGTCATAGCGCTCGGGAAACACCGTGGAGGGGAGCTCATTCCATAGCCGGATGGTACGTGGCAAAAAAGATCTCTGGAAACGCACTGTGGATGAACGTAGTGGCTCCAGGTAGTATGGATGTACTCTACCCCGATGGCGGGCGGTGCAATGGTAAAAACGAGATGCCGGTATCATCTCGAACAATTCCTCAGAGCACTCCCCATGAAACATACGGTACAAAATACAGAGGGAACCGAAGTCCCACGTTCATTATTTTGTATTTTATTTTTACGACTTTTGTTTTTTACGATTACGTCATGTCGATTTGTAAGTATCGATTCATTTCACTTAGAAGCAGAAGTTTTTTTTTATTTTTTTTATTGCTAGATGGGTAGACGAGCTCACAGCCCACCTGGTGTTAAGTGGTTACTGGAGCCCATAGACATCTACGACGTAAATGCGCCACCCACCTTGAGATATACGTTCTAAGGTCTCAAGTATAGTTACAACGGCTGCCCCACCCTTCAAACCGAAACGCATTACTGCTTCACGGCAGAAATAGGCGGGGCGGTGGTACCTACCCGCGCGGACTCACAAGAGGTCCTACCACCAGTAAAAAGTATCACTAAATAGCTATGTTTAACTCTTTGATATTGCAAACACAGCTTCGTGTGTAGTCATTGTGACATAAGCTATTTTAGTTCAAACATAAACGCATAAAATGTCAGATCTTTTTTGAGACCACCATGAGACATAATTACAAGTATCCTACCCTACAAACTGGAAACCACAATGGCTTTTGCTGCATAAATAGAAAGGATTGTACCCACCTTTTTTTTTCAATACAATTTAGGGTTTTCAATAGATACATACGTCTATTGTTTGCAAAGTTTTGATTGCACGGTGTTATCCCTTCGTCTTCGAAATCGTTCATGATTAAGAATAAATACGGTTTTTTATAAATAAAATGTATACTCGCTTGCGGGATTCGAACACCGGCATCGCCTCTCTTGATACGAGTAGACCGGCCGTCTTATCCTTGAGACCAAAATCACAAAGACGCTTTAAAAAGAAATTGTCCATTAATTTAATTTTCGTGTCACACGGGCCTCTGATATCGAGTACTAGTTCTAATTAGCAGACACACTCTCTTAGATGAAAGAAAAAAAAATCGAACAACATCAGCTGCCGTGAAGCAGTAATGCGTTTCGGTTTGAAGGGTGGGGCAGCCGTTGTAACTATACTTGAGACCTTAGAACTTATACCTCAAGGTGGATGGCGCATTTACATTGTAGATGTCTATGGGCTCCAGTAACCACTTAACACCAGGCGGGCTGTGAGCTCGTCCACCCATCTAAGCTATAAAATATAATAAAAAATACACTTAACCTATTGTTATAATGAACAGAATTTAATCAGCAATAAGAAGTTGTTTTCGGGAGTAGTGGAAATGGTGAAATCTAATCAGAACTCACGTACATATGTACATATGTTATGTGGAAACGTAAGGGTATGCTACGTGTAATTAACTGAAACAACACGAAGATGTATTGTGTTCTAATACACGTTCTGATTTAAACTGCGCATTTTAGAAGTTGCCGTAATGAAATATACAAATCTTACTAAAACATAAAATATATTAAAGTAACATTCTTTGAAGATATTTTCTAATATCAATTAAACAAAGTAAGTTTTTTTTATTGCTTACATGGGTGGACGACCTTACAGCCAACCTGGTGTTTAGTGGTTACTGGAGCCCATAGACATTTTTTTTCCTACCTAAGCTGATAGCCTTGAGAGGCTATATCAGCGTCGCCTTAACTAGTAGGTGAGCTCACGGGGCTCAAACCTAATGACGCTGCTAACACGAACCCTAGCAAGAGCCGTGCTTTGCAGAATCTACCACCGGATCAGAAACGTGACCCACTGAGAAGATCCATCGAGAAACTCAGTGGGCTGTGTCTGAGGGTTAATTTACTCGTCGAGCCCTTCGTCGCAAGCGACGGGTTCGACGAGAACGATGACCGGTGCTTGAGATACCTAGAAGCACCGTTTATGGATCGGGAGGATCCGAGATGACGTGTTTTGGGCCCCAAATTCTCCAAAGAAGGCCTAATAGCTAAAGATCAGTTGCTTTGCGAGTTCATCTGCCAGTATCGGGACCACAACCCGCCGAGATTTTAGTTTGAAATAGCAATCTACGGCTTATATACTCAACAGCACATAGTACCACTCATACTCTGCCTCATCCTGGGCTGGCCTATAATTATTTTCTTTCAGTACAAAAAAAAAACTTTTCGAATACATAAATTTTCGGAATTCTTGAATTATCTTTCAAATTCGATAGTAATGTTTGGTCAAATGTTTCGGCACCAATATTAACTAACAAAATTGAGTATCTCCCATTGGACATAGTGTCAAATCAGTCGATGATGATCAGTGAAGATGGAATCTACGAATTGGATTAATATCGCTTTTTGGATTTCACTTGAAATCGGTTAATACATATAACAGATTCATTCTATACTTAATAAGCTAACAGAACTGAAATATAAAACTAAAGTTTCAACGTCGAAGCTTCACTTCGCCTAGAGACTAGAAAGCAAAGCTCTCATTATAAACTTAAAGAAAATTCAAACTTTTCTTTCACAAAGTTTTCCTCGGCAATGTACTTTAGAGTAGAATCTGCATAGAAATAAGCAAAGATAAATAGATTCTGTACCTTCTTGCCTCTACTTGTCAGTCGATTGCCTTTCTTTGTTTACTGCCTATAGACCAACCATTTTTGGGTCATAAAGAATTCGCTCGCTCGCTAACGGCCGTCTGGTGTAGTGGTAAGTGACATGGTCACTACACAAGGGGGTCGCGGGTTCGAATCCCGCCAAGGGAAGATATTTGTATTATAAATATAAATGTCTTTCCAGGGTTATGGGTGTATATTATATATATGTATGTGTATAATAAAAATATTATATTTATTTCCGTTATCTGGTACTTGTAACACAAGTTCTCTACGAACTTAGCACGGGACCAGTTAACGTGGCGTGATTGTTAGTAAATATTAGAATATTAAATATTAAAAAATAATAAAAATATATTAATGCTTCAGCCTACGCACTAAGAGGATACGAGGCATGTTACTGGTGGTAGGACCTCTTGTGAGTCCGCACGAGTAGGTAGCCTATTACTGCCGTGGAACAATAATGCGTTTCAGTTTGAAGGGTGGGGCAGCCGTTGTAACTATACTTGAGACCTTAGAACTTATACCTCAAGGTGGATGGCGCATTTACGTTGTAGATGTCTATGGGCTACAGTAACCACTTAACACCAGATGGACTGTGAGCTCGTTCACCCATCTAAGCTATAAAATATAATAAAAAAACACACTTAACCTATTGTTATAATGAACAGAATTTAATCAGCAATAAGAAGTTGTTTTCGGGACTAGTGGAAATGGTGAAATCTAATCAGAACTCACGTACATATATGTACATCATATATTAAATGGAATCGTAAGGGTGGGTTACGTGGAATTAACTGAAACAACACGAATATGTATTGTGTTCTAATACACGTTCTGATTTAAACTGCGCATTTTAGAAGATGCTGTAATGAAATATACAAATCTTACTAAAACATAATATATTGAAGTAATATTGTTTGAAGATATTTTGCAATATCAATTAAACAAAGTAAGTTTTTTTTATTGCTTACATGGGTGGACGAGCTTACAGCCCACCTGGTGTTAAGTGGTTACTGGAGCCCATAGACATTTTTTTTTTCCCTACCTAAGCTGATAGCCTTGAGAGGCTATATCAGCGTCGCCCTAACTAGTAGGTGAGCTCACGGGGTTCAAACCTGATGACGTTGCTAACACGAACCCTAGCAAGAGCCTTGCTTTGCAGAATCTACCACCGGATCGGAAACGAGACCCACTGAGAAGATCCGGCGAGAAACTCAGTGGGCTGTGTCTGATGGTTAATTTACTCGTCGAGCCCTTCGTCGCAAGCGACGGGTTCGACGAGAACGATGACCGGTGCTTGAGGTACCTAGAAGCACCGTTTATGGATCGGGAGGATCCGAGATGACGTGTTTTGGGCCCCAAATTCTCCAAAGAAGGCCTAATAGCTTAAGATCAGTTGCTTTGCGAGTTCATCTGCCGGTATCGGGACCACAACCCGCCGAGATTATAGTTTGAAACAGCAATCTACAACTTGTGTACTCAATAGTAATAAACAGTTCCACTCACACTGCCTCGCCCGCAAACCAGGGCTATATTTATTTTCTTTCAGTAAAAATAATTCCTTCCAAATACATAAATTTTCTAAATTCTTGAATTATCTTTCAAATTCGATAGTAATGTTTTGGTAAAATGTTTTGGCACCAATATTAAGTAACAAAATTGAGTATCTTCCATTGGACATAGTAACTAATCAGTCGATACATCAGATGGAATCTACGAATTGGATTAATATCGCTTTTTGGATTTCACTTGAAATCGGTTAATACATATAACAGATTTCTATACTTCATAAGCTAACAGAACTGAAATATAAAACTAAAGTTTCAACGTCGAAGCTTCACTTCGCCTAGAGAGACTAGAAAGCAAAGCTCTCATTATAAACTTAAAGAAAATTCAAACTTTTCTTTCACAAAGTTATCCTCGGCAATGTACTTTAGAGTAGAATCTGCATAGAAATAAGCAAAGATAAATAGATTCTGTACCTTCTTGCCTCTGCTTGTCAATCGATTGCCTTTCTTTGTTTACTGCCTATAGACCAACCATTTTTGGGTCATGAAGAATTTGCTTCATTTACGCTGTAGATGTCTATGGGCTCCAGTAACCACTTAACACCAGGTGGGCTGTGAGCTCGTCCACCCATCTAAGCATTCAAAAATAAATAAATAAAATAAAAATGTTATAGTTGAAGTGACTAAAGTCACTGTCACCCAACAACCCGCATCCAAAAGTCGGCTGGGAAAGTCCTCACCCGAGACATGTTTATAATATAATACATAACGAGCCATATTAAAGAGCAAAATTGGAATAGTCGCTCTCCCGTGTTTTCAACAAAAAACTTAAAGAACAAAATAAAATAGAATTAAATAAAAAGTGAAATTAATCTAAATAAGTATCAGTAGATATATAATCTAACATTAACCACTAAGCGAACACTAGTATATATCATTGCGATTGAAGAAGATTACCTCACAAACACAATGAAAACACAAAAGGACAATAGGCGGTCTATCTAGATTTAGATCACTTCTAGACTATCATTAGAATAAGTACAACAATAACCGACCAATAACTTTTATTCAAACAATCAACAATATAAAAAGATGTTTGCAAGTTTTATAGTGTTGAATGAGCGATCGATATTACAATGCGAATGGCTTGAGATACTCTTGTTGTCTTACATTCCCAAAGAATCTGTGGTCTAACTAGTAGTGTAAAATCCTGAATACTACCTTCTCCTAACATTTCCTTACCAAACTTCCATGAATCATCATCGTTAGTCTGTCGTCAGATGGACCAACTGCTAATTTCTAACAAGGCTTAAACACGCTATTATCTCCATAATCACTGGTAGGTCATACAATAAAAGCGTGCTATTTCAATACTTACTATGCTGAAGATCCTAAAGCCAAGACTGGGCAAAAACATAATTAGAAACTTTAATTAAAAAGAACGCAAAGTTTCAGAAGCTCGCCTGCTTTGGACCTGTCAACTAAGCTTTCAACTTGTGTTTACTTGCCCAGTGCTTTTAGAGCTTACAACAAAATCTCGCATTTTGCAATGCAACCTATGAATGTTTGTCGTTAAACATTATGTTCTATGTGCAAAAGGTTTTTATTAAAATCAATTAAATTTGAATATTTTTTTTTTACAGAATCCAATCCGCATGTGTACGTAGAATCATTGAAATAAATAATTAATTATTTTTGTATTTCAGGAACTAGATACAAGAATTATAATCGGAAGCTTTTCTCAGGAGATGATACCGAAAATATTTTGCGAGGTGAGTTTTTTTTCCTTACCTGATCACCTATGTACCGGTAGGTGAGCTCCCGGGCTCAACCTGTTAGAATTGCTAACACCAGCCCTAAGTGCTTCGCTGAATAGAGTAGTGGATCGAAATAGCGACCCACTGAGAAGATCCGGCGAGAAACTCCGTGGGTAATGACGTGAGTGTCGAGTGACGATATCGACCAATTAAAACTTCAAAGCTGTGTGTAACTTAATGTTTTGTTTTTGTTCGGAAATTTATTTGAATAACTTCAACATCTCTAAGTAAATAATGTATGTAAATAATGTACACTAGCAATACTCCGTCGCACTATTCAGTAATGTTGTTTCTAGTTGCTATTTAAGTTTCTTCATTCTAATCAATGCAATGTATCCATCTACAGATTAGCATCAGAAATAATTTCAATGGTGTTCTTGAACTTTAAATATTCTAATGTTTCGTAAGATAGGCAGCCATGCTCTCGGCTTACCAGTACAGGCTTTCTTATGTTTGAAAGATTATTGGTGGCCCGGAGGTCTTTCCAGTTTTACCAGGGCAGGTGGGCGAGCAAGGGCTCAGTCAGGAGGGGTGGGATTTACTAACAGCTACCCGAGCGCCTTCAAAGGAGACCTAACAACTCAAGAATAGCTGCTTCGCGAATGAATCTACTACAGGATCGGAATCGCGACCTGCTGAAAGATCCGACGAGATACTCAGAGGGCTGATGTTTAGGTTAGGTTGCACGTCGAGCTCTTTGCCGAGTTCGACGAGTACGGTTACCGGGGTCTCTAAGCCTGCTGCTAGTGGGGTGCAGATTTTAGTCATTGTACCGTAGCGTATCGGAGAAACCTACTGAGTTTCTTGTGGTGAGGCGTATCGCATGGCCGTGAAGGATTTGTTGATTGCGTGCATCGTAGAAATCGCAACGTGAACTCTCCTACTTCTATACTACTACTCACCTTGAGATGTGAGGTCGAATTTTCAATTGTATTTTACAACAAAAAAATATATTGGTTGTCTGTCAAGTCGGTTTACGGACTTTACAGACTTTTTTTATTACGTGATGACGTCAGTAGCAAAACTATTCGAACTGCTAGCTCTGACGTCACGCGAGCAGAAAGATAAATGTGTCACAAGCCAACGGTCGGGCCGATCGTGTCTCTCTCTATAGCTCGTTCCGCGCTGTCACTTGCACGTTAAGGCTCAGGCGGAACGTGACACTTTTCCGTGCGTGCAGCCTGCGTTTATCGATTTATAAGACGTTATCACGTCAAAAAGGTATTAATACATAAACTACAAAATATATAGACATTTATTTCAATCTGAATCACATTCTGAGTCATAGATTATTCTTATTGAAAGTGAAAATAAATTACCACTGATTCCAAATAGAGCCACAGTTCTCACAGAAACAAACTCAGCAAGCATGTGTTTTTATGCATACATGCATCGATTGACTTTAATTGTATTATTGCAATACAAAAAGCATTAATACAATCTTTAGAACGATTTACCGTATATATTATATTCAAGCGAATTTATTCTCCGTTGGTTACAATATTACCTTATCTGCGTCACCGGGGTATAGAGCCCCGTATTCGGATATTAGAAGCTTATTTCTCGAACCGAGAAAATGCCGAGCGCACTTACAACACGCTGTTCCAATTCTACATCTAAAAAGACAATTTTCGGGATTACGCAATCTTGTGAAGTTTTACATATTTTCATTTACAGAACAATTCAACAATTAAAATGATGGAACAGTTTTTAAGTTTCAGTTTTACATTCATTTTTGCATATTTACAGAACAGCCATTGAAAGTTTAAAATTTGGAAAAAATATCATAACAAAAAAAAAAACTGCAGATATTTGAATGAATTGAACTTAATTGAAGTTCAATTAAAAACATCGAACCGTTGATGCTAATACCAAATAAAACGCACCTTTAAAATAAATGTCGCATAGCACCACTTCTCTCTTCCCCCGGTTCTCTCTTCGAAGCTACTAAGCAGGCGCACCAAGATTCGGATATACAAGACTGTAGTCAGACCGATCCTATTGTATGGATGCGAAGCATGGACGCTTACACAGAAAGAAGAAGCAAAACTTCTCGTGACGGAGCGAAAGGTATTGAGAAAAATACTAGGACCAGTTCGGAAAGAAGGTGGTTCTTGGCACGTCCGGAAAAATAAGGATGTGGAGAGGCTTTTTGGTGAGCCAAATATTCTGGGGGAGATGAAGGCACGGAGGCTCGGATGGCTCAGACATGTAGTACGTATGGAGCAGGATCGGGCTGGGAAACGGGTGTACGCGGGTGTACCGGAGGGACGCCGCCCCGTAGGGAGGCCCAAGTACGGCTGGTCTGACGCTGAAGGAAATTTACGGGAGCTCCAAGTGTCGGACTGGCAAAGTGTTTCGCAGCGCCGGGATGAATGGCAAAGTTTATTGTCGAAGGCCAAGACCCACTTCGGGGTCATACCGCCAGCTCAGTAGTAGTAGTAGTAGTAGTAGTAGTATACCACCACCCTGCATATTTCTGCCGTGAAGCAGTTATGAGTTTCGGTTTGAAGGGTGGGGCAGCCATTGTAACTATACTGAGACCTTAGAACTTATATCTCGATGTAGATGTCTATGGGCTCCAGTAACCACTTAGAACCAGGTGGGCTGTGAGCTCATCCACGAATCTAAGCAATAAAAAATAAAAATAAAGTATTAAGCGAAATGTCACTTAAACCAAATAACCTTTCATCATTGGATAATTATAATTATTTATATATTATTTAAAAACTCGCATAGATTAACTTCCGTGCTTATTTGAAATTGTATGAGAGCCAAAGACACTTATTTTCCACGCGTAGCCATCGTATCGTGGTCGCATCATGGACCCATTTTATAAGTTACTTATTGGGTATGTGACAGCAGATATTGCTTTAGATGTTAGACACAAGTTATCTTAAAGGTTTAGTAGTCAAGATAAATAGTGTTACGCCGGTAAGAGTAACGCCATCTATCGCCGAATAGTCGAACGAATATCGAAGGATCTAGTAGCACCTAGAACGCTCGCGAAGTACAACGCCACCTATTGTCAGATAGCGGAAACACAATACTAGAGATGTGTGAAATATTCTCAATAATTCTAGTGATGTGGTATCGACTATAAAAGCTGCAGGGATGGCACGCAGTCAGTTAGTAATCGAACTACTGGAAGCGAAACAGCGAACGGATCACCTGAAGCGAAGCGGAAGAAGCGAATTGAGAGTTTTAAAGTGTTTGTGAAGTGTTTTAAGTGTTCTAAGTGTTGAATACAGTTTTTAGCTTATACTTCGGTGTAATTTTATTTATATCGAACCCCAGCGCGTAACAATAGATACGTAATAAATAAGTAACGGAAATGATTCTTTTATAGGCATTCCGGTTGGGGATGTTTGGAGCGGAATATGCTTGGCTTGTTGCCGGCATGCCGCCTCGCATTAGAGGCACCGCGCCTTGCGCCAGGTCTCAGCTGGCCAGGGCCTTAGAAGGCCTCGTCACAGTCACAGCTTATAGAGGAATCGTGGGAGACGTGGCTTCATTCTCTGGGTTGGTGAGTTGTACATGATAAGTTTTTTTTTTAATATGTGGGTATGATGATTTTGGAAAATTGCTATATCTTCCGAGTTCTCTTTGTTTCTGATTAGGTAATATAAATTTAAGTACTTTGCCTTATAGTTCAGATGATTTTAAGGTGTTACCAGAGAGAGACATGTGTTGGAAAATTGGTATAAAATTTGCCTAAATATCACTGTGGAGAGCTGGGTAGAAAAATGTATCGGGCTTGGATTAATAAGACAGGCTAATGTCATTTTAAATTCAAAGTCCAATCCATTTGGATATTTTTATGTCTCAAGAACAAAACAGCAGCGGCTTGGCTCTGCCCCTGCCATTGCTGAAGTCCATGGGCGACGGTAACCACTCATCATCAGGTGGGTCGTATGCCCGTCTGCTTACAAGGGCAATAAAAAAAAACAAACATCTCATTTGTAACGAATATTTACATATCAGTTCTGTCCACAGCTAAAGACGGCCTTTCTTAATAGGAATCACCGAACTTTACTCTATTCTTGTCCATTTTTTCGTCGTTCTTTTGTTCATCGTTACCATTTAACTGACAAGCAGAGGAAAAATAACTAAAACATTAATTGAGTCGTCTATTATCAAAGGTGGCAATCTGTGCATTTGAACAAAAAAATGTTATTGATATGTCAATACAGATTGATTTGAATATAATCGTCTCCTTCAAAGAATACGGTTCAAAACCTGCATTAAATAAAGGTTAATACTTAACCTGTTATTTATCTAAGATGTCGTTCAGAAGAGTTTTGTGACTGCCAATGGAATACAAAGTCNCAAAACCTGCATTAAATAAAGGTTAATACTTAACCTGTTATTTATCTAAGATGTCGTTCAGAAGAGTTTTGTGACTGCCAATGGAATACAAAGTTAATAATTCGTTTTTTCTGATTTACCAATAATTGTCCAAAAGTCACATTGCCGGCTTTGATAATAGTCGACTCAATTAATCTCCATTCAATTAAAAAATGCTTAAAAACATAAGTTTTGCGAGTAAAACTCAACGCAAACAAGAAATAACGTAAGAAAGTCGAAAATTTCCACGTTATGTTCATGTTTCTCGGCCAGAAATTTAACCTAAATTATTCCATTCACTTGTAACACGTGATAATGTATTATTTATAAGTACCGTCTTGTGTAAGAACCTTCTTCTTTATGGATGATTCAAAGGTATTTTATATTTAGAATAATGTTTAATCTAAATGAGGTTTTAATACAAATGGCCTAGATTAGGAAATGCATTGCATTAGACTTTTCGACAAATTCAAATCGACCGTGATTTTACCAGTTGCAGAAATTAAATAGTAAATTCGTCTAAAAATTTTTGGTTGCGTCGAAGTTCCTTATGGGACGATGCGGAGGGGTATCCTAACCGGGATAAAACGTCCGTAACGTAAGATTTTTGTTAGTAATGCACACAGTGTTCGACTAAACTTTGTAATAACGTACAAACAAGAACATATTTTTATCATTCATTTACCACGATCTCAGAATTTGAATTGAATTTGAATTTGAATTTGAATTTGAATTCTCCAGTTTTATTTTCTTTATACCTCGAATAGAACTTAAAATTAATATTTTTATAATAAGAAATTTCGTTCCTATCCGGTGTCCCACGACACCACTCATCTTTTTTTTTAGACAAACCAAATGTTTCACCGTGAGATGGAAGCCGTAGGAGTACCAGTCGCTCCGTACGCCCCACAAACCTACGACGCAGTCTGGGTCATAGCACTAGCACTAAGCAGAGCTGAACAGCAATGGAGTCAGGGTATCAATGGAACGCCTACGAACAATAAACTGGCCCTTGACCATTTCGACTACGACCGGAAGGACATGGCCGAGGACTTCCTCAATCAGTTGGAGAGTTTGAGTTTTTTGGGTGTTTCTGTAAGTATGACATCTGGCGCTCTGTCCCAATACTAATTCGGGACTATTCAATGTTCAATATCAGTAAAAATAGTGTTTCATTACCTTAAAGTGCGAATCATTGTAAGAATGATTTCCAGCAACAAGATATTCAGCAGGAGGTTAATTTTAGCATACAAAAACTAGTCGTTGTAGCCTAGGATGACCCCACCCTGTCTCTTCCCGTGGGTGTGACTGAAAGGTAAAATAATCAATGAATGGTCAGCAGCTCTCGGGCTATTATACCAGTATACTATGGTCGCTAACCTCCATATATTGGTAAGGGGAAGGTATTATTATCCTACCCAGCCATTCTACAGTCCAATTAAGACTTGTCCCATGTCTTGTGCCTTGAAGTGGATGATGGTATTTACGTTGTGATACCACATCAAGTGGCTTGTGAGTTCGTTTATCCATCAATGCAATAACGTAATAAAGAACTGATTGCCACTGGTTTGGGTAACAATTGCTTATTCAAGATATTGATTCTTATCCTTACTATACCATATATTTACACCCACAAAGGAGCTGGAAATTAGTACTCTCGAAAAAATTTGGTTCGAAATAAATAAGCGTTTTTCTTATTCCAGGGACCTGTATCGTTCAATGGCGCAGACAGAATCGGTACATCAGCGTTTTATCAAATTCAAGGTATATATTTTGAACAGAAAAACTCAAATATTTTTATAACTTTTTATTGTTATTAACAGTTTCAACATCAATAAATTAACGTTATGGCTCTCCCCAAAAAGTAGTAAAGTATGAAGGACCAAGAAGCTACCAGCAAGCAGCTATTAGCAAGTAAATTCAAATTCCCTGGTACGTTAGGGTCTGTATAGATTATAGGGAATGTATACGATTTGGGAAATATGAGAGCTTCAACTTTAAGCCAAAACTAGTATGCTGAGTTTGGTCTACTGTTTCAATTGAAGACTGTGGTGTTTGAGAAAAATTAGTAGAGTTTACTTTAACATTTAACAAGGACGGTATGATGACATTTAATTATAATATAAATTACTTAAACTTAATTAAGGAGCGGTTAGCGTGGTATGGACATGTGTTGCGTAGAGAGGAGATGCATGTGACCAGGAGATGTATGGAAATGGTAGTGCAAGGTAGAGGGGGAAGTTGTCGACCGAAGAAGACATGAATGCAGTGTGTAAATGAAGATATGAGAGAGAGAGAGAGGATTGAGTGTCGCGATGACGGCTGATAGAAGAGAATGGAAGAGAAAAATTCACTGTGGCGATCCCACCTAGTGGGATTAGTTGGAGACAAAGAAGAAGATAAATCAATTAAACTTGAATATGCATTTCAATATGTAAATAAACAGCGCCTTATGGCGAAAGGCTCAGTAAATGAGCTAGTATGCTGGTATGACGGTTCTAATCAAAATACCAATTTTAATCCATAACCATTTCAATATATGAACATGTGGTTGTCCATGTTTTTTTATGAGGGTCATTAAGTATCTACAGTGAATGAATCCCTCTTTAGGTGGTCGTCCAAAAACCGTTGCATTATACACCCATGGCAGAGAAATCTCGTGTACTGACTGCGCCAAGCCACAATGGGCTGGTGGCATACCCGCGGCCAGACGGGTACTCGTTCTAAGGGTCGATTCCGTGTGGGCTCCCGCTAGACTGGCGGTGGCTACATTGGCAGCAGCTGGCGTGGCTCTTGCGCTGGCATTTCTGGTCTTTAATTTACACTACAGTAAAAGAAGGTATGTTTTTTTTTTGTATTAGCTTAGAGAGCGTGGCTCACGTAGTATAATCATGTCTACCACTACAACGTCAAGCCTATCTTGAAACACAAATGCTCTCAGAAATAATTTAAAATAATCCTGACGTTCTATTTTATCACTGCACCACGTACCAATGGAGCAGATTCGCAGCATTATGCTTTCACAAAACGTTTTGGATTCGTACTATGTTTTTATTATGTTTTTTTAAGGCACAGATGGGTGAGCGTGCTCACAGTCCACCTGGTGTTAAGTGGTTACCGGAGCCCATAGACACCTATAACGTAAATGCCGCTCCCCACCTTGAGATATGAGTTCTTCAGTATAGTTACAATGGCTGCCCCACCCTTCAAACCGAAACGCAATACTGTTTCACGGCTGAAATAGGCAGGGTGGTGGTACCTACCCGTGCGGACTCACAAGAGATCCTACCGCCAGTAATTACGCAAATTATGATTTTTTATCACACGATGTTATTCCTTCACCGTGGAAGTCAATCGTGGACATTTGTCAAGTACGTATTTCACCAGAAAAATTGGTACCCGCCTGCGGCATTTAAACACCGGCGCGTCGCTAGATACGAATGCAACGGACGTCTTATCCTTTAGGCCACGACGACTTCAATCCAATTGTATCCGTATATTGTACTGCCTATAAGCGCTGGTAACACAAGGTGCTCCGTAATATCACCACTGAAATATGCGGAGCTTTCGGGTATAGCTTTAAAGCTCTTGATAAATTATTTTTCAGATCAATAAAACTCTCATCTCCGAGACTGAACAACATGACTCTGATTGGTTGCGTGCTAGTATATACTGCTGTTGCGTTATTGGGCGTCGACAATGCCACTTTACCATCATACGTGCCCTTTTCTGCCATGTGTACTGTAAGTATTAAGATAAAATGAGATAGATGAATGTTAATTAGTTCTGAAAAAAAAACGTTTTTTTTTAAATGAAATATTATTTTTTTAAATTTATTAAAATTTATTTTCTATTTGTTAGTTGAATTTTATATAAAGCGTGTTTTTTAGTTTTTTAAACTATTATTTATTTTTCATTTTTTAGTTAAATTTTCTATAAAAGCGTATTTTTAAAACTATTAAGTACTATAACATCAATCCCTGCCTTATCGACTATAGATAAAAATTATATAAATTTGGCAAAAATCTTATTTTGCAAATTGAATAATGGAATAATCTTATCAAATTAGTGTATTGTCATCGGTCCTCGATAAATCTACAAAGTTTGAATGAAATCTGGCCGTTTAAAGTGGATCAAAATCGCGTCTAAAGGAGTCAGTTACAAATGTTGAGTCTGTCTAATAAGACACTTGTTCAGTTAAGTGACTAACATATATTGGGATTACAACCTCACGTGCTATCGACAGCCCGACAATCCCGAGACTGGCGTAGCATCATTGCAATATAATTACCGCTAACACATGCATAATAATATCTTATACCTTTAAACGAGCAATTCTTGTATATATAGGTACTTATATAATCTGAATCTCGGAGACGATTTTCATAAAATTTAGTATACAGGGGATTTCGGGGACGATAAACGATTTATTTTCAGAAAATGTTGTTTTATTCGTGTTTTAAATAATCAACTCTTCCCGACATCTATTGGCGAATAATAATACTATTTTTCTTAATTGAGGGCAACTAACCGCTTTAAAGACACAATAAGATGGCGTTATAAAAAAAAAAACCAAGCCAAGCTCGGTCATCATCTAGTAATTATTAGATGCTATGGGGACATTTGTGATCCCTACACAAACATACAAACATACATACAAGTGAAGCTAATATAAAGCGTGTAAAAATTTGTATTTTCCAGGGTAGAGTGTACATTCTGTCGGCTGGTTTTTCATTGGCTTTTGGTTCGATGTTTGCCAAAACGTACAGAGTTCATCGGATATTTGTAAGGTAAAATTTAACTATAGAACATAGTTTTACTGTTGCTTATGAAATCTGAATAGTACCAATGCCTCATACGCACAACAAAGACATCATAAGCCAATAAGCATATTTATTCGTAAAATAAAAGATATCTAAGTAATAGGTATATTTAGTCCAGCTTAACAAAATGTTATGCGGTATTTTTATTATAATGTTCAAGTACACCAAATAATCATAACAACATGTTTTAAAACCCCTTCTCATCGCTACTTCTTTAAAACATCAAAAACGCCCTAAAACATTTTCGTAGAAAACAACACAGTTGGCAACCCTATGTTACCAACGGTATTGTAATTAAATTTCTAAAAAATTTAAATTTAAATGAAAAATCTTAGCCAATACTGCTTCCTTTTCTAACCCTCACACGTTAAGGCGAGAAAGAAACGTATATAATCGACGGTCAGGGATGTATATACCGGTCATCGTTCTCGTCGAACCCGTCGCTTGCGACGAAGGGCTCGACGAGTAAATTAACCCTCAGACACAGCCCACTGAGTTTCTCGCCGGATCTTCTCAGTGGGTCGCGTTTCCGATCCGGTGGTAGATTCTGCGAAGCACGGCTCTTGCTAGGGTTCGTGCTAGCAATGTCGTCATGTTTGAGCCCCGTGAGCTCACCTACTAGTTAAGGTTCCGCTGATATAGATAGCCTCTCAAGGCTATCTGCATAGGTAGAAAAAAAAATGTTTATAATATTCCAGTAACAGAAGTGGTGTCTGCAAAACGAAGCTACTCCAAGATACGCCTCTCATATCCCTGGTCTGCGCTTTACTTGTGATCGACGGCATGATCGTCACTCTCTGGACCATCCTAGATCCAATGGAGAGACACCTGAAGAACTTGACGATTGAGATCAGCGCTAACGATAGAAGCGTGATTTATCAACCTCAGGTATTGACATTGTTACTCGTAGTGAGAGATAAAATCTAAGGAGCGTCTGATGCCAAATAAAGAAACAAAATTTCATGTACCTTAAATCATAATCAATAACCAATCTTAAGTTGCTAATGGCTATACAATCAATGTAATTTTCATTCTATACTAATTGTATTTTAAAAATGATATGTTCTGACTTGCTTGTGTAAGCCATTTAGAGTTCATACAACATCTACCAGCATTGATCTAAGGGCCGGTCATCGTTTTCGTCGAACTCGTCGCTTGCGACGAAGGGTTCGGCGAGTAAATTAACCCACAGACACAGCTCCACTGAGTTTCTCGCCGCATATTCTCAGTGGGTCGCGTTTCTGACCCGATGGTAGATTCTGTGAAGCACGGCTTTTCCTAGGGTTCGTGCTAGCAACATCGTCAGGTTTGAGCACCATGAGCTCACCTACTAGTTAAGGTTACGCTGATATGGTCTCTCTAGACCATCAGCTTAGGTAGGAAAAATAAAAAAAGAAGATCTAAGGCTTAAGTGATTTTTCCATATTACTTTCAGCTAGAAGTCTGCAAGTCTCAGAACACAACGGGCTGGCTTTGCGCTTTATACGCTTACAAGGGCCTCCTTCTCATAGTGGGGGTGTACATGGCTTGGGAGACCAGAAACGTTAAGATTTCTGCCCTAAACGACTCGAAATACATCGGAATCAGTGTTTATTCTGTTGTGATCACCAGCGCAAGTGTTGTTGTTATAGGAACCATAATTTCCGAAAGAGCCACTTTGGCTTACATCAGTATAACTAGTTTGATCCTTATTACAACGACATCAACGCTCTGTTTGCTGTTCTTGCCGAAAATTGTCGCAATTAGAAGGAATAGTGAGTATATTTCACTTTTGAAATAACTACGTATGCTCGATGTTATATTTTTTGGCGCAGTTTTGATGTGGAATACTTATAGACGCACGTAAAACCGATTGCTGACACTATAAGATAGTATAAACACACTATACTTTATACTATATACAGTCCATATTGTAATGTAATAATGTGTATATTTTTTCATTAAACCACTTAAATTTCCTGTCGTAAACTATACTTTTATGCCACTATACCTGTACAAAATAATATCAATGTTTCGCATCTGCCATCTCGTTAGCTCATTTTCTATATTATTAACGAAACGTTCACTAAATTGGTTGACTGTTATATAATTTTACTTATAAAAATATTTACACTAAACGGCTGCCTGCCGTAAAGTAATCTCCACAAACCTCATTTGAAAAAGGACATGTCATAGCGCTCGGGAAACACCGTGGAGGGGAGCTCATTCCAAAGGTAGTATGAATAATCTCTACTCCAGTGGCGGGTGGTGTTACTGTATGTTTTGGTCTTCTAAGTCTCTTAGAAATAGATTCATTCTCATTATCTCCGGATTCGACTTTCCCAGTCTGCTAGATAGTTAGTTCGGCGCCTTAGTAAAAAAATTGGAGAGAAATCCACATAATTACTTCAGTGCGCCGCGTAGGACACCGGTGACCTACACGGCAGTGAACGTGTCAATATGTAGACGGGCAGACGAGCTCTCGTCATTGTCCACTTGGTATTCAGTAGTTACCGGGGCCCATAATTAACACAACGTGAAGGCCGATATTCATCTTGAAACATGAGGGCAGAGCTTAAGGTGTATAACGACCCATGTGGACTTACAACATATCCTGCCACCAGAAATATCTATTTCAGTTGAAGAAGACCCCGTCATACAAAGCATGGGCCTGAGGCTGGAGTGTAAAACCAGAAGGTTCGTTACGGACGAAACCCAAGAACTACATTTCAGGATAGAAATACAGAATAAAGTGTTCAGGAGAGAAGTGGCGGCGCTGGACAAAGAAATCGGAAGACTTGAGAAACTGCTATCAGAGCCGCTAGACTTCACTGGGTCAAACGCCTCGATATCCTTGCAGAGACGCGTAAGTACAGCCATAATTGTTGATCGTACACTATCAAGTCTAGGTCTTGCTTCGCTGTATTTAATGCTGAACTATGAATGCAATTATGAACATTATCTGGCTCGACCAGGCGACCAGTAGCTTCGAGGGTCTATTCTGGTTTAACGCTAACTGGTAGGCGAGCTCACGGAGCTCAGGCTTTTTTTTTATTGCTCAGATGGGTGGACGAGCTCACAGCCCACCTGTTGTTAAGTGGTTACTGGAGCCCATAGACATCTACAACGTAAATGCGTCACTCACCTTGAGATATAAGTTCTAAGGTCTCAAGTATAGTTACAACGGCTGCCCCGTCCTTCAAACCGAAACGCATTACTGCATCACGGCAAAAATAGGCAGGGTGGTGGTACCTACCCGCGCGTACTCACAAGAGGTCCTACCACCAGTAATTACGCAAATTAAAGTTTTGCGGGTTTGATTTTTATTACACGATGTTATTCCTTCACCGTGGAAGTCAATCGTGAACATTTGTTGAGTACGTATTTCATTAGAAAAATTGGTACCCGCCTGCGGGATTCGAACACCGGTGCATCGCCTCAACACGAATGCACCGGATGTCTTATCTTTTAAGCCACGACGACTTCTTCTTCTGTCAAATATCTTGTGTCGTGTGATGGCTACCGCCATCTTCCCATCGTCGTCTAAGCCTAATCACATAGATATTTAATGTTCAATGTATTAGAACATGTATTTTATTTTCCATTTGCCTAAATGTAATAAATTAGTAAACTCTCGGTTGGGTTTGGGAATTATTATTTTGCAGACTTCGTTCGTTCGGCATAAATAAGCCAATTTTGCGATTTCAGTTGGAGCTCAACACAGTCGAAGAGGAAGGTAATCTACGTTACGACGATCGACGTACTCCAAGCATCGGCGGTGGCCTACCCATGCTCCTGCTGTCAGTTCTACCGCCAGTCATACCCCGAGCAAGCTGGCCCTCAGCCGAAGCCTATCGCGGCAGGAACTCCGTCAGTTTCAGCTCGCAACCTAAGCTCGACCAAAGGAAATCGCATCCAGCGATCGACTTATACAATTTGTGTCTCAATAAACGAGAACAGCCCGGCTTACTCAGAAGACTGAAAAGCTTCTTCGGCAGTAGACCTTCCAGTAGAAAGGCGTCTGCCATATCAATAGCCGACCCGACAAGTCAAAGCATCGCGGCAGCTTTGAAAATGCACGTCGGAATGATCGCAGGATTAGTTCCGGGAACCAGAAAGCACTCAATGGTGTTATCCTGCAACACGCTACACGTGCCGAACCCCGAGATGAAACTGAGAAGAGAGTCTTACGCGAAAAGCGGCCCTATCATTCGGGTAACCGATGACGAGCCGTCCTGCTCAAGTTACATTCCGGAGAACAGCGTACACATAGGGCCCCAGAAATATATTGCTGAGCACGAGACCAAAGTAAACTTTGTATTACCACCGACACATCAAAGACCAATGTCCCACCAGAGCTCGTATGAAAAAATCAAGGGCTCTCCAAGGTTTCCTCATAGGATAACTCCTACAGCTAGCAGCTTGACCAATAGTCTTCTAGATACAAGAAAAACCAGTGCCGGTAGCATTTTGAGCGTGTCTGGCAAGGCCTTTGATGAGCAGCGAAGGTTTAGTCATCAGAACGTCAGCCATCAAGAAGATAGAGGAAAGACCCTACTAGAAAGCAGATCGAAGTCTACAGAAGACGCAATGCCTGGGCCTTCGACGAGGAATGATTAAGAACTTGATTTAAATGAAACTCAATTTAACGCTCCAGTATTTTACAAGTACCCACTTTGGTACATAGTATTTTTTGTATATTTTACACTAATTTTTCGCGCTAGGACTGTAGTATGAATTGTAAATTAAATAATTTAAAATTGAATTAGTAACTATTTCAATGTCTGAAGGGTATCTATCTGTCAATATTTAGAGTAGACTTAACTGAGATTAGAACAAAAATACATAATATAATTTGTACATAATAAAAATGAAGGAATATTAACACCAAAAAGTAGAAATAAACTTATAAGTTGTAATAAATATTAATATATCCAGCGAGTTTGTTGTGCGGATAATATTTTCTTCGTATTTGTAAGTAATAAAAAACGATCTAGTAGGTTTTATTAGTAAATTATGGAATATGAATTTATGTAGATATTATATTACAGACAGAAGGCGATTTATACATTAAACACGCGTCTGAATTGTAGAACAGGCGCTATGATTCTCTCTCTTACCAGCCAATTATCCCACATGGCGGTGGGATCAGCTTTCCTTACTTTCCTCCTCCACTTCGCTCTGTCTTCGACATCCTCGTCAGCAACATTGCATTCCCTTTTGTCCTTCAGCACTACATCCTTCCACCGTGTCTTGGGTCTACCTCTAGGTCTCCGACCGGGGAGGTCGAGCAGGAATGCCAAATTTCCGACGTAGTCAGGTGGCTTCCTTTTTATATGACCTATGCTATACTTAGAGCTGCTATGATTGTTCTACACAAACTCAGACTTTGACCTCTTGTTTCAAGCAACAAGCAACAAGGTCTAGCAACCGCTAAACACCGGGTGGACTGGAGTTTAGCAATATAGCCACGGAAAAAAACCCGTAAAACCACGGTTCAAACCAAGTCACGGTTTTTCTCATAATTTATTTATATAACTGAATTTATTTGATTAATGATGCAACGCTTAAGAAGAAATCCAGCTTGTATTTATTTATCTGATACATATGATAAGCCGAAGTGATGAAAAAAAATTGGGCTTTACGGGTTTTTGTGTTGAAAACTTCCATAAAAGTTGAAGTTGTGTCTTTCTTGCTAAAAAAATAATAAAACAGCCGCTTTCTTTTAAAATTTTGTCATAGCTTTTATAAAATTATATAGCCTGTTAGCAATTAACCAACACTGGTGTTGTTCGAATGTTTGAAAAACAGCCACAATCAATGAAACCTCAAATTTGATACTCATATTATGTAAGACATAAATTCCACTTTTATTTGGCAGAGACTTTGAAAAAAAAAGACTATTTCTAAAAAGTTTTTCTTGATAGTTGATAATACTCAAGATCAATACCTATAATACTAAACGAAACAAGAAATAAATCAATAAAAAGATGTGGTGTCGTGGGACACCAGGTAGGAATGAAGTTCCTTCGGCTAATGTAGAATCGACACAATTTGCAAAAAAAAAGAAGGAGAAAGAGAAAGGTATTATACACTACTCACTTGTGTGTACGACTGTCGCGCCTGCGCACGTCTCATTTAACGATTTTATTCCACGGACTTTTTCTTACGGTTTTACTATCACATTTTTTTTCAGTTCGGACGCGCCGCAAAATCCCTATCTCCTCCAAGCCTGCCGTAAGGAACTTCGTTCCAATAAAAAACAGAGAAGAAAATGATAATTAACTGTTATGTCATTATCTTTTTACATATATTATATGTAGAAGATAATATGCATTCACGAATAGTACATTATATACCTAATAGTATACGAATAGGTACATTAAAATATCTTCAACCGCCTAATAATTAACCCGTTTTAGTGGAATTACAAAAATAATCAGCCATATATAAAATTAAGTGTTGTTTTAAGATAGCCAAATTTAAGTGTTGCCTACGCAAAGCAATAAATAATATTAGTAAGAAATACCATTTTATTTAGTGGTCATATTTAGTATACCTCTACTTTTTTTTTACTAGATATTTTTAGAGTTAAGTTAGATATATGGTGTGGTGTGTACTTAGTAATAAAATGTCGTTTATGAATAGATTTTTTGAGATTTTACCTAGTAGGAAAAATGTATTACGTATTTATTATGTTTTCTCACATTGATTTCCGTTTCCTCATATCAGCTGCAAGGCAGGCAAGTCGTCGAACATATTGTAATCCCTCACCGTCATCTATCCTATCCAACCTTTTTTTCGGATCTTGATATGAACACAATGAAAATTATTCAATTTAAATTGTATGAAAACATTGAAAAGCGTGTTAAAATTAATGCCTATTCAAACTATCCAACAGTGTATCGTTCAGTTTAATTATACTCGTTAGACATAATATACATAATTAGGTTATTTTAGAAAGTAAGAAATAACCAGTCGATTAAATAAATAAATTATGTAATTATGTATTGGTTTCCATTAACATAATTTTATTTTTGTGTTATATATCTAAATCTCTATATAAATTTACCGCTATTATAAAATAATATGGCAATTGACATTTACCATAAGTATTTTATACTTTTTGGCGGGAACGCGAGGAGCAAAGCCGTGTGAATTGTTTTCTATTTAAATAATTCATTTAGTGTTTCTTTAAGTTTACGTTTAATAACGGTGCTTTGTTAACTGTCAACATCTATGAAAGTGCACAAATATGGGAAAATGAAACAAATGCGGTGAAGGTACCTAGCTTCTCGGGATCTTCGAAAAAGTTCACTGAAAAAGTAAAATGTAAATTGTAATTTCAAAAAACATGCAAAATTGGTATTACGCACCACCATTAAACACGTGAGCTAATGTTAACCTACATACATCCAATTCATTAGTTATATTCATTGCACATTTTTGATTTTAAAATATAAACAAAAAAAAATTACATGATCAGTTGTCCGTGACTACGCAAATTATAAAGTAATTAATATAAATGTCGGGAATAATACATATGATGACAATATTTTTTTATCAATATTTTATTATTACGCAACTTTAAACCGTAAAAGTATCAGTTTTAATTATTATTATGAAGAAAATACTAGGTATATTTTTTTTGTTTTTACGTTGATGCTACTATGACAGAAACATTCCATTAAGTGGTAACAACGACCATGTTGGTAGTAGAGCATATTGTGAGCTCCCACGGGTAAGTACCACCTGCCTGTTATTACCACGAAAAAATGATGCGTTACGGTTTGAGAACCATTATACAATATTGAGATCTCATGTCTCAAAGTGGTTGGCGGTATTCACATTTAAAAGTCTTGGGGTCCTGGGGTTCTGTATCCGGTATTAGGTGGTTCAACCTAATACGATGGAGAAAAAAAAAAATTGCCAGAAGACATTTATTTCAACTCTTTCGCTATGGCAAGCCTTGTCACAGTGTTTCGAAGGAAACGGAGCTGGCAACATTTTGTGGGGGGTAAATATAGTCACCGATAGTAATGCAAGGGTTAAATTCACAACTTTGTTGTAATTGGCCAATTCAATAAAACAAAACATTAACTGTAATAGTCTTTATTTCAATAGTTTATAAATGTTTACATATACATAGTAAATCGTAATTTAAATATACAGGTAGCCTATAACACGGTACTTCTACAACACGTTAACGAGATTTTCTTTTAAAATGATTTAGAAAACTACATTATGCACTATGGACACACAATTTAAAGGAATAATAGAAATTTAACTGCTTGTTTTTTTATGTATAATAAAAATACATACAGGCATAGTTGAGATGTTTTATTCAGAAAAATTACTCTCTTTTTTGTACTGACTTCTAGTCTCATATAACGCGGTTTCGCCCAACACGGGACTTTGTAGGAACGTATCTACCGTGTTATAGAAGGCTTATCTGTATATCCGTGAAATTTACATAGCTGAGTCACCTGACAATCAATTATGTCCGAACGACATTCGGTTTCAATGTGTGATTAGCTCAAAGTCATTCAAGCTTTTTCTAGGACATTTTTTTTATAATTGGCAATGCTTCTATAGAATTAAATGTAACTAATTGTGTTTTGAAAATGCTTAAATCTCGATCCGATCCACTTTTTTTTGCTCAACAACCGAAGTCCGAACCTCGCTTGAGACAGAACTCACGACAGGCTAAGGGGGGAAAGTGAAGCGTTTATAAGTTTACATTTTTTTTACACCGACGGCGGCTGGCAACACCGACTCCTCCTCAACTTGCCCTAGCAAGAGCCCCGCTCATCCTGACAATCCTGTCTCGTATGACCCGCTTGATGTTGGCGTTAACGTGGGGCAGGTCAGAGTTTGTCCTGACCGAGGTCTCGATCTTCTGGACCAGCTCGACTTCGCGGGGCCAGGCCACGAAGCTTGTGACGTGGGATCCGGGCGGGGAGCCCAGCCGGCCCGCGCGCCCGCACCGGTGGATGTAGTCAGACGTGTGCAGAGGGAAATCGTAATTAATTACGTGGTGCGTCTGAAATTCAATATCATTAACAATTTTTTAACTTAGTCAATCTTATTGATGTAGATGGGCTATAATCAACATATCTAGGGGTGAAAGGCTATTGATTTGAGCGACATTTTTTGTAACTTTACAGAAGTGCCATAATTGAAAATTTAAAATTTGGAAAAAATATTATGAAATAAAAAAACAAGTTAAGAATAAAATTAACCTTAATATATGTACTATGTACCCTATGAATGTGTTATGCATCTCTGGACGAAGAATGTCAATGAGAATACAATTTTTTTATTCATTACTTTGATAAACTTTATTGGTCACAAAGTGAGTTTACAGAGCTTTTTTTTTAATATCTCCAAAAAAAATTATTTAAAACTTACCCTAGTAGTGTCCAATCCTCGGGAAACGATATCAGTACACGAAATGACATTAACTTTCCCGGATCTGAACATTTCAAACTTCCCCAACTTCAGCTGTACCGGCATCTGGCCGTTGATGTTGATGCATTCAACGTTGTTCTCGTTCAGGAACATGGACACGAAGTCGCAGCCAGACGTCTGATTGCTGAAGATCATGACCGGTCTCCTCTCGTTCTGATCCGCTTGGACAAGTTTGAGGAGTTCCGCGGGCTTGTGCGCCTTCCCGAGACGTAAGAATCTGGGATATTAATTAAAAATCACACTTTGAGTTATTCAAAGGTCAGCTGATAGAAGTCATAAGGTTTAACTGGAATTTAACTCAAAAGAAACGAAATGATGACGTAGAACAGAGGCAGTTGGCTTTGAATGCTCAACGTTCTGAAATTGGGGTCTTTTAACAATGTATGTGTGTATATTTGCATCAGATAATATCTCCCATAGATCGGTGAGTAGTAGGAATAGCCCCTTAGTTTAGCAATATCCACGCGGTAATCAAATTACTATGGGTTTTTTTTTGCCTAGATGGGTGACAAGCTCACAGCCCACCTGGTGTTAAGTGGTTACTGGAACCCATAGACATCTACGACGTAAATGCGCTACCCACCTTGAGATATGAGTTCTAAGGTCTTATATTATTTATTTATTTTTAATTTCCTCAATATTTTTAATGACTTTAGTTCACCCTACTTTTAACTATCGTTTTCAACTTACTTCTGCGGCACATGTGGTAATATCCGATGTATATTTGAAGTTCTAACCATTTTCAGTGATTCAGCCGCTACAAAACTATTGACAGTTTCCGGAAGGTCCCTAGGTAGTGTTGCACTAACTAAAGTCAACTGACAACCTGTGGGAGGGACTTGAATATCAACTTTATATTGTATCTGAAAGTAAACAAAGTGAAGTTTAGTTCTTATATCAGAAACTATTTTATTTTCTGCTATGATTGTGCATTCTGGTTTATTTAATTGCCTTAAAGACAAGTAACTCTATAAGAACCACCTGACGATTAGTGGTTTCATTACAATTGTACGGCAGTTTCTTTTTTTTATATAGTATAATAGTTCCTCATTACTTATTCTACAACTCAATTTGTATCATATCTATGTGTCTACTTTATTATTGATTTTTCTGTCCAAGTTCCACTAATATTATTCTGAACTCAGTCTGCAATGGTATGTTAAAAGCCTGTCAACCTGTTTAACCTAGATTTCACTATTGCTTTTTATATTCAAATAACTACTCAATATTATTATGTAAATTTTCTATCCTTTTAAAGGGATAAGGTGATGTGTTCTATCGAAGCCATTCCTTTATGACGAAATAGAAAATCTAACTACCTTAATTGCAAAAAGGAAGATGAGTATAACATGTTTATTTAATTGAAGCTGTACTAAGAATATGATATATGAGTCGACTATTAACAAAGCCGGCAATGTGACTTTTGGACAATTATTGGTAAATCAGAAAAACTAATTATTGACTTTGTATTCCATTGGCAGTCACAAAACTCTTCTGAATGACATCTTAGACAAATAACAGGTTAAGTTAATACTTTATTTAATGCAGGTTTTGAACCGTATTCTTTGAAGGAGACGATTGATATTCAAATCAATCTGTATTGCCATATCAATAACATTTTTTTGTCCAAATGCACAGATTGCCTTTGATAATAGACGACTCATATATGATACATACACTAATGCCTTCCTGGGCAAAAAAGAAGGTATAGATGCTATAATTGGTTTGGTCATAATTAACCTATAGCGTATTAGTGAGAGTACTTATTCTCCTTTTAATAAAGGGTTGTATAAAGACAGACACACAATGAACTGATTTGTTGCCCAACACATACGTTTAAGTTCATAATTAAATAATAAAACATAATACAACTTTAATATTTACTCACCGAAAATTTCTTCAACAGATATGTGACTTTATCAATAAATGTGTCATCCAAAAGGGAATCTGCTTCATCCAGCACAATATGATGCACATTGTGAATCTTGTATATTCCAGTTGTGACTAGTTTACTGTAAGCTCCGAGCGTTGTGATTAATATGTCACTGTGCTCAATTGGAGGGTTTAACATTTTTTTTTTCGTTTTGCCTCCTATTAAAGTCGTGACATTTATGTTTATGCTTTGTGCTATTGTTTGAGCCACTTCTCCTATTTGTAGAGCTAAAATGAATTGAGAAAAAATTCACTACAGACTTATACTAGTGAGTCTCATATGCATTAAAATTCCTATTCTAAACTTCAGACAACTGGAACATAATTGGTTCACTACAAGAATAGGGTTAATAGTTATCCTAGCATAGCTTACCCATTGTCAATAGGAGCAGTTCACTCGTGTTAAGAACACTTATACTGTGCACAGATGTTAGGTAGCTTGTAATTACAAATCAAGAAGACCAAAGGAATATACCCTTCTAAACTTCTAATAAATAAGAACAGACTATTTTCATGTAAGATTCTCCTAACTTAATGATATATATTATTACCTTATTATTATTTTTACATTACAGTCATAGTGACTAACTTTACTCACAATTCATTGTTACACGCTACATCCCAACCTTTTAATGTCTATTCTTTGTTATAGCTTTTTAATCATGTTCTTAAGGCTTTCATAACTCTTAACTTAATGATTTAATCTAAGAATTTCCAATTTAATTGCCGGTCTTATCTGTTGTTACTTATAAAGTCACTGAAGAGACTTTAATAAGGAAACTTATCTATTAATGTAGGTATTATCTAGCAATATATGACATGTAACTAAGTGAAGCCACCATGCTTTTGATGGAATGTTGAGTTACGACAAGATTAGCTCACAAGTTGAAACCAGTGAGTAGTATGTGGGTTATGTTACTTATTTAATAACCCCTCTATTGCCTATCCTTCAGCTGAATACAGGTTGGGACAGAACCAGATAAATTCAGGGAAAATGGCTAACACCTAGTTAATACCACAGTACAATATTGCATTAGTTTAATTTAATTTACCCGTATATTGGTCAGGCAAATCCCATATTTCATTAACTTACCTAGTTACATGCAAAGTAAGATAATTTGAGTTTATCTGACTCCAAATCTTAGAAATTTACTAATTTAAGTTGTCCATTTTTTCAATTCGCATTTTTGTACATAAAAATATCAAGAGATTTAACTTAAGCCGGTTACAAGTACAGATTAACAAAAGACTTCCTTATTGTTTTCAGTTTTGAATTATTCTGTGATACATATAATTTAAAAAACCCACTTTGATACTGACTGACAATGACTTATCATATAAATAATAAGCATATAAATCATTTAAATTTTCAAACTTATGGTACCTATGTAATGAATGGTAAATAATCGTGAACATCTAAATACCCACCTAGTTCTCTGTTCGGTGTAATAACAACAGCCAATGGACTATTAAATTCTTCTTGAATACTTGGCTTCCATTCCAGTATATGTTGAATTATAGGTAACAAATACGCTAAGGTCTTCCCGCAGCCCGTCTCCGCTGTGATTACCGTATTATGTCCATTGAGAATAGCGGGTACAGCCTTTGTTTGTATGGCCGTGGGCAGCGTAAACCCTAAATCTTTGACAACTTTAACTAAATGATCTTTCAAGCCGATATCTTCAAAAGTCTTCCTATACACGGGTGTTTCTTCTTTTTTATTTGCATTCCCGTGTATGATGAAATAGTCTCCCTTTGATTTATTGTGTAGCCACCCCTGCGAAGCTAGTTTTATACCTTCATACTTGCTATAACTCTGTCCTTCGTAGTGATTGAATTCCGGTCGCTTGCATGTTATAATAGGTAATTTTTTCTTAGCCTGCTGGAGGCTATAATAACGACTATAGGATGTGCTAATTAATTGACGTAATTTAGACATTGTTCCTGTTATTTGATCAATTTATTAAAATTTAAAAATACTAGCATTGTTTGTTAATTTAAGGTTATGTCACATAATGTCACATATCGTAACACATATTTTATAAAGGGATTTTATGATCTGGTAACTAAGACCTTTAAGTCATGTCTTATTTTAATTTACTCATTCTTATACTTATGAAAAATGATAATATGGAGTGAAATGAAATAAAATGAAGATATTTAATTTGAGACATTAATCAACTGGGATGAAATTGAATGAAATGAGATGATATGGGATGACATATAATTTCAGTAAAAGGGTAGTCATTTACTGACACTTTTTCAGTGGACTTTTTGGAGGATCACGAGAAGTTACGTTTAGCGGCTTTATTTCATTTTCCCACATTTGTGCACTTTCACAGATACTAAGCAGTTAATAAACCACCATTATTACACATTTAAACCTGAAGAAACACTAAATAGACAAAATAAAACAAATCACACAACTTCACTCCTCGCGTTCCCGCCAAAAAGTCCGTCCAATGCCGTCAATTACATACTGACATAGATTATACACCTAATATTAGACGGGTTAAAAATTCGCTTCCGATTTATAGAATCGTTTTTTACCTTGATTTTGCGCCAGGCTGTTTCAGACAGACAAAGAGTACCTAAGCTATACTTTAAAATATTTTACAACAAAACTACACAATATGTTTTGCGAACTGGAAGGAATGCAATTAAATAGTTGATTAAGCGTTGATAACTCGATGTCGTAATCGACGAATTCGACGAGGACGGTGACCCCAAAAACGGTGAGAGAGTGAGAGCCCAAAAACGAAGAGTGGTTCCGGGGGATTCGGGGATTTTAATAGTTAATATTGATATAAATATAAATTTTCAATTCAAGTTATCTACATTTTCACACTCTTAATATCCCGATATCCATAAAATAATAAACCCACCCATTTGGACACTTCAAGATAAACGGCGTCTAATAGTGTCGAAATATATTTTAACCCTATAATAAACTGGAATGGCTCTTGACATGAGCTTTCCGATTATTTTTTTATTTCATTTACGAATACATAAAACTTACAAGCTCATCTTATCAAGAGTATTGACGTTTATTATGGAAAAGGTCACACCTTAATACTACGAGTATAAGCTTATAACTCGCCATTAATCTTATCACTGAGCAAAGACATATCGCGCAAATTTATTATTCCATATAAATGCTTTTTGATTGTGCAGTATTTATCAAATATTAACGAATATACAACGCGATCTCTTTTTAATCGCTGATTAAACGAGATCTTCCTTTCTGTTTCTCCGTTTTTTTCAGATATTCATCAAATGTATTGTTAAACCAAATAAAATAAAAAAATTAAATCGATGTAGATTTGGAGGTAAAATCAGAAACACTCAATGTTAAGTTTCATTTTTATACAGCAATTTTCAATGCAAACTGTAGGTTCCCTTTCGTAGTCAGCAAGGTTTCACGGAGTAAGAAGCAATAAGATTTCAAAAAAACGCGTGTGCAATCCTTTGCTAGGAATAAAATAAAGCCTTTAATTAACAATAACACGCTAAAACGTACATTATTACTATGTTTGCCGTTTGATATCGCCTTTTCGCTTCATAGAATACATTGCAAATAACTATTTTGGCAATATATCGATTCCCACTCGACACATCGACGACCCACACACCCGCTTTTATCAATACAAGAAAGCCTTAAAAGCATATCAATCCGTAGGTACTTTGTGAAATACTAATGGACCCGGCATTGTAAATGTCTTAAATCCGAAAATTTCAGGTTTTTTCAATAATTCGTTACAATCTGGTTTGTTTTGCTGAAATTTTATATAAAAAAAAAAACTTAATATGATACGGAATTGGGAATCTAAATCATTCTCGAGTCCACTTGAACGGGCACAAAAATCAAAATCGATTTAGCCGTCTAGGAGATGTTCGCTTACATACACGCACAGAAGAATAATTATACTATTCTGTCAAGAAAGTACCGGGAAAAGATCAATAATACACAAAATGTGAGTTAAATCCTAATTTAGTTGGTCATCTTGAAACCGTGCTCCTTCAGAAGCGATACACGTTGGCGAACGAATAATACAATTGAAAAAAAAAATAAGAGCTTTTTCCGGAATTGAGTCTAGCTCTCGCCACGAAATTTTCTTTAATCTTCTATCGACCGAAAACGGGTACCACGAAGTGGTAATTTGAGTTAAAGGAAAAAAAGAAGTCTTCTGGAGCCATATCTGTTGAATAAGGTAATTACTAAGTGATCTTTGTTGAGTTTTTCAAAAATCGGTTCACGATGATGACCTTGTGCAAAGGCGTAATTTTGTGATGCGAAATCTAAGAATTTTCGTTGTAACGTTCGTTGTTGAAATAAACTGTCCATTACCGTTGAATTATCCTTCTTAAACGCCTCATAACGCTCAAATAATATTCTATATTTAGCCTTTGACCTTCCGGCATTCCGAGTTCCAAATTCCAAGTACATAGCATCGCGATAGTCAAAGAAAACAGTCAACATTACTTTGACTTTTGATCGACTTTGGCGCGGCTTCTTCGGTTTCGGTTCCGTTGGAAGACGCCACCCAGAAGCTTGTTGACAAGTTTGCATGTCAAACTCGTAAACCCACGTCTAATCGCCAGGAACTTTCAATGAATTCTGCATCGGAATTGGCTCGTTCTAGCACGTTCTCAGCAGCTTTTATGCGATGAAGTTTTTGGAGAAAAATCTGGTTTTTTGGGACTAGCCGAGCGGCAATATGTTTCATACCCAAGTGATTACTTAAATGGTAGGAATCGACTCGTGAGACATAGAGTGTTCGATGGCTAGCTCCTTGAAACTTGAATGAGGATTTATAGTTAACATTTCCTTCACTTTTCCAATCTTAATTTCAGTTGCAGACGTTGATGACCTACTAGAGCGAAGCAAGTGTTCCACTAAATCTCGTCCGCTTTTGAACGCTTTGTATCACTCACAAGTACGTGTTTTTGATAAAGTCGATTCAAAGTAAGCCTTTTGCAGCATTTTCAGTAATTGAGAACACGAAATACCATTGGCGATGCAAAATATAGAACAAACTCTTTGTTCGACGTTTTTGTCCGTTATGAAATTCGCAGAACACACTAGATATGGTGTAACTAAAAGCAGCTGTATATTATAATCTAAATAACAAACGCTGCTCATACTCCGCGCCAAAATGGAAAACAGTTGTGCCAACCTAACAACAACAAAATAAAATGAGTTTAGAACCATAAACAAATCATTCATTCCCGATACTTGTTTGACTGAATATATAGGTTTATAAAGATGTGATTATTACTAAACCAAACTAGTGTGCTTAGTGCGAGTTTTTTAGCGTTCTCGATAGCGTAAAAGTTAACTCAAATTTGTATGCAGTTGGAACAGCGCCCCTAGCGGCCTGGGTCTGGAGGTGGCGCTCGATAAATCCCAGGCCCTGTTGTTTCACGGGGCCCGGAGAGCGCCGCCTCAGGGGGCCCACCTCGTGATCGGAGACGTTCGCGTCGAGATCGAGGCAACCGGGTTGCGGTACCTCGGTCTCGTACTGGACGGTCGTTGGAGCTTCCGCGCTCACTTTGAAAGATTAGGTCCCCGACTGATGGCGGCTGCCGGCTCGCTGAGTCGGCTGTTGCCGAACGTCGGGGGGCCTGACTTNGGAATATTTGAATTGCTGATGCTCGTTCACATTAGTTTAGTTTAGTTTATTTTTTATTTTTAATACGTCAATTCCAAATGCGGAATACAAATTTGATTGGACAAGTGCTACAGTTCTTAAGAGTGCGAAGACATTTGAATGTGTTTTAATGTAAGTCGAATTATTACATACCATAAATAAATACAACTTTATTATAATGAATCAGTTGCTTGGAAAAAAATTAAAAATGGTTTTTGAATTGAATTTGAAATTGTAAATAATTGAATGTTTATTGAAAGGTTTCGAATTTAGTCATGGCACCTCGTCCGGCTAGTGGCCCTTACTATTTTACACTAGACTTTGATTTCTGGACGAAAACAAGTTTATTTATTTATTTAATCAAAGCTATTTTATATCGGAGGCCCGATTATAGTTATTTTCTATAGCTTATTATTTATATATCCACAGGTGCAAAGACTAGTATTGTAAGTCGCTTTTAGCTAAATATAAGTAACAATATACGGCCTTTTCCTTTCATGTGTCGATATTATTTGTATATAATTATTATATTTTTAGAATTATATTGCGACACTCACACACGGCACACGGGACAACATTAATTTGGAAGTGTGACGAGATGCGGAGGGACTTCGGTTCCCTCTGTATTTTGTACCGCATGTTCCATGGGGAATGCTCTGAGGAATTGTTCGAGATGATACCAACGTCTCGTTTTTACCATCGCACCGCCCGCCACCGGAGTAGAGTTCATCCATACTACCTGGAGCCACTGCGGTCATCCACAGTGCGTTTCCAGAGATCTTTTTTGTCACGTACCATCCGGCTATGGAATGAGCTCCCCTCCACGGTGTTTCCCGAGCGCTATGACATGTCCTTCTTCAAACGAGGCTTGTGGAGAGTATTAAGCGGTAGGCAGCGGCTTGGCTCTGCCCTTGGCATTGCTGAAGTCCATGGGCGACGGTAACCACTCACTATCAGGTGGGCCGTATGCTCGTCTGCCTACAAACGCAAAAAAAAAAAAAAAGATGATTAATGATGCTCTTTGGGTTATATGGGCAGACGAGTTCACGGTCCTCTCGATTTTAAGTGGTTACCAGAGACCATGGGCATCACAGTGTGAATGCCGCCCAATTTGAGATATGAGCACGAAATTAATTTTGCAGTTAATTTTAGTGTGATAGCAGTTCCACCCTTCAAACGAGAACACATAAGTGATTCGTAATCCAAACAGACAGGTCGATAACCGTCACACTCACAATTCCCTCTCAACAACAATTACGTACATTAAAAAATATTCGAGTTTCATCATTGCAGGTAGGCATAGGCATTTTGCAGCATTTGTAGGCATTTTGCGGTAGGCAGCCGCTTGGTTCT